CGGGTTCTTCCTCTAGCTCTTCTTCCGATTCCTCCTCGGGTTCTCTCTCAGGTTCTTCTTCGGGCTCCCCCTCAGGCTCTTCACCTAAATCCACGTCCATCGGATCGTACCCTGCTTGTGACTCTTCCGGCTCCGGCTCAGGCTCAGCCACCGTGGATTCGGGTTCTGCAGGTACAGGCTGATGACCTGACTGTGCGAGGCTAGTGTCGAGGCTGGTCATCTCCCCATCAGGAGGAGGTATAGCCGATGGGTCCCAATCTCCCACTCCATCGAAACCACGAACCGGTCCGAACTCATCCAAACCCTCCCGGAAACACCAGGCTGTATAAGTATGGGCTTGCCAAAGAAGTTATCCTACATCTACCCAGACTACTGTGGTGTGCTTAATCCAAGCCATATTATCATCTATAAGGTACTCTACTACTGCATGATCGGTATGCATAGGTATGCCAAAACGCTGAGGCGGTGGCGGTGGAGGATTCAGGGTCTAGGCCGGGGTTCTGAAAAGGTTTAAATATACAACTATGAGGCGAATCTCAATAAGTCGACAGCCTAAACCCCACTTAGGCTATCACGTACCTCCAGACAAGTCCAAACACACTATCACTCAATAAACACATAACACGCACACAAATGCACTTACCTGGGCTCTTAGTACACACAATCTGCACGTTAGTCTCAAATCCACAAATTTCAAACCACATGAACTTTCCAAACTAATCTCATGCCCAAAAGCAAATGTCGAACACATGGCATTTCCAAACTCCGCATTTCACACTCATTCATGCACCACCACACCATTTTCAATAAACTTGCCAACGACCCGCATAAACACGCCTCAGGTCCGATCTCATTCTCACTTGCCACATCACTTATCTCATTCTTATTCTCTTTCCACAGCCCGCGTAAACATGCCTCAGGCTCCACATTCCTATCGCGACCTACGTAAACACGCCTCAGGTCCGATCTCATTTCCACTTGCCACATCACACATCTCATTCTCAATCTCTTTCCACAGCCCGCGTAAACACGCCTCAGGCTCCACATTCGTATCACGACCCTCGTAAACACGCCTCAGGCCGGTTCAATTCCCCGCGTAAACACGCCTCAGGGATTAAGTGATCACGCGAACATGCCAACACACCTTATTTTATCTGTATCCCGTGTAAACACACCTCAGGGCTTTTTAATGATCACACGCACATCACACGCCTCAAATTTCACACGTTCGCATACTCGAACATTAATCAAATGCACTCAAATTCGCCCAATTCAAGCATCTCAATTCAGCCCATGTAATATACATACAACCATCACATAACATGCTATTTTTCATCACAAAAATCATGGCACAACAAACACGGCATTACACCACAATTTCACACAATTAAGAGTCGAACCAAATTATGTACCCTATGCACCAAACCGAATTTTGCAGCACTTATACCAACCATACTCAGCCCTCATTTAGCCTCTAATTACCCACCAAATCACCACAAATTCATCCATAAAAACCATCATCCAAAACAGCCCCTAAAACTACACTAAACCGTATCTAAACGAGCCCGTTAATACCCGATATCCTAAATAGGGATTAGGGTGTCACTTACTTGAAATTTCCAAGCAAGAACAGCCTATCAAGGGGCCGGCAAGGCGGTGAGGACGCGGCGGTCCGACGGTCGGACGCACGGCGGACGGCGAGCACGCGGTGATCCGGCACGGCTCTGGCCAACACACGGCTAAGGGGAAGAGAGAGGGTTGGTTCGGCCAAGGGGGAGAGAGAGAGGGTTTTGGCGTGGGAATGAGAGGGAGAGAGAGAAAGAGAAAGGAAAAACGAAATAAATAAGTGGCACCAATAATTGGTGCACTTACCCCTAGCCAAAATTACCATCCTACCCTCCTCTCTACTTTCCATCCAACGGCCAAGATCCAAGCTTATCCAAAAATCAACGGCCAAGATCAATTCTTACAAAAAATATCCAAGGGTAAAATAGGAATTTCACAAAAAGTGTAGGGGCAAAATCGTCCAAATATTTATATCTCTAAAGTGGGGGTGAAATGACCAAAATGCCCTTCCACTTTTATACTTAGCCTTCACAAAATACCAGGGGCAAAACGGTCATTTTTCACTTCCTGTCAAAATTTCAGTTTTCTGACTAATCCGGACAAATCCGAGGCTGACCACGGTAATAACGACGTCGTCCAATTACTCTGTCATGACTTTCAAAATTTTCAACACCCAAACTCAGTCTCTATTTAATGGCCAAACTCAAATAAACGCGACTTGAGCTTATCTTAAACTAACGGGTGGCTTTCGAGAAAATTCATACATTCGACCCGTGGTCGATACTAAATCGAACCACGTTTAAGTTCACTTGAGCCATGGCGACCTCGATTGTCAAGTAATTGCGAGGATCAATCATTAGTTCTAAAGGACGCGATTGTTTGGAATAAGTTTGAGATCGTTCGCAAATTTCGTATTCTGGCGAGACGGAATCACCCGCGATCCAATTATACCACATTCGCAAATTGATCCCTGACCATCTTTAGATCGGTCTATATTAGCCCAAAATATCACCTCGATAATCCTTATGGTCGAAAGTCAATCCATGGTCAGGTTCTATGGTCGCACGAATCTAGATCCCTAATTAGCCTTTCCCTACTGATTAGTGTCCCAAGAGTGATCAAGTCTGGGCGATATTTACTATAAGTGTGTTATTGAAATTATGCATTTCATAAATACCAAGTGGGTCGAAATTTAGAATGTCACATGGGAAGTCTCCACATAGCAGCCAATACAACATTTGTCTGAGAAGGTCTAATGTTCACTCTACCTCTTATATTTTTACGCACGTTGACCAAAATAATATGAATATCAGTTGACTTGTTTTGAAACCGTCTTCAGTTGTGCTCCATCCATATGCCATAAATGGTTGCTATAAAGGATACCTTAAGGAGTCTAGCTGCCAAATCTTTACCCTTTGTTGCTCTAATCATCCATTGAAGTTCCTCATTCCATCCTCTCAAAGGATGCCTAATCCCTTATTGTGCAAAGATATTGCGCCATAAGCTGCTTATCCGCTCACACTGGAAGAATAAATGTGTTCTGTCTTCTATACCGCCTTACGAAGTTACACTGGATATCAATTGAGGTCATCCATTGGACGCCAATTTCGCTGTCGTAGTCTGCTTTCGCAAACGAGCCAGCCAATAAAATTGTGTTTGCTAATACCGGTCCGATTAGGTCATACTACTCCACAACCGGTCCCGCATGTCCGAGTTCATCATAAATTTCTCGGCAACAATGTACCTTAAGCTATGGATAACCGAGGTTAAAACATGTCGTAATTTAAGGAGATATCGCCAACTTTAAGCCATGCTGCCCGTAATGTTGACATGCATAATTGAAGTGCCTCTGCATTTGGTGTTGTGAACCCATATACTCTAAGGGGAAGAGGATGGACAATTGATGAGGTTCTACAGCACGCGGCCTAACAATACTTTGTTATATAATTTAAGATCGAGCAATCCTAATCCTCATTCCCTTTTAGGTGAACAAACTACCTGCCATGCCACCTTGTGCTATCCATGATTCGCTGTATTACCTGCCCATAGAAATTGACGGATCCTCTTCTCAACCTCGTATACTGTTTGTTTTGGGAGTAAGAACATTTGCATCCAATAGGTGTAGATGGAGATGAAGACCGATTTGGCTAATTGTAGATGCCCTGCATAACTCATATGCTTCATGCCCCAACTTTCAATTTTTTTAAAGATCCTGTCAATAAGACTCTTACAGTCTGTGTGAGTAAATCTTCTTGTAACAAGGGGAACACTCAAGTATCTGATAGGGAGGGTACCTGTGGAAAAAGGTGTGTGGTCCAGTATAAGGAGCTTCTCATCTTCATTTAACCCACAGAAAAATATTTGGCATTTGTCAGGGTTAAACCTTAGTCCAGTGAGAACTGCAAATTCGTCGAGGGCATCCATAAGGCAAAGAATGGAATCTACATCTCCATGAACAAATAAGAACAAATCGTCTGCAAAGCATAAGTGAGTAATCCGTTGTGTTTTGCAACGCCAATGATACTTGAAAGCAGAGACAGCGACTTTCGCACTAATAATTCGATTAAGAAGTTCCATGACCAGGACAAACAAGTACGACGAAAGAGGATCACCTTGGCGTAGTCCATTAGTACTATTAAAATAGCCGACCTATTCGCCATTGAAGTTCACTGAGAACCTCGGTGCAGTGATGCACTCGGATATCAAATCAACCAAGTATTGAGGTGTATTTATAGCTTTAAGAACCCCAAGAACTGCATCCCATTTTACCATGTTATAAGCCTTCATAAGATCAATCTTTATTGCCACACGTTTACCTCGAGACTATCATGTCTTTGAACTTTTTTTATGTATAATCTAAAAGCCAATAAACTAACCTCCCCAATTCATTTTGTTTTTTTATTTGGTTTTTGTTGCTCTTGCTAAAGAGCGATGGTGGAGATGTTGAGCATATAACTACAAAATTGATTTTCAAAGTGACATGATACGCTCTTATTGAATCGCCCATACAGATTGACACTACTAAAGTTGAAATGAATGTGCAATCCCGAGGTGCATATCATTATCCATGGAACTCTTTAAAGATATTTAGATGTACTAACTTCTGTTTAAATAAATTTAAATAGTGCATAGATCCGGTCATCGTCTCAGTTTATGTACGATAGAAATTGGGTATGAGTAACTGTTTAAGGAGTAGTTAAATTGTACGTCACATTAGAATCGATAAGTGCTTGGATACTAATTTCTTTTCGTTACGTCACTTCATGTGTTATTATGTAATAAAATAGGGAACACAGATTTTAAGTTTTTGTAATCGGCTTGACTTCTTTTTCATAACCAAAAAAATAAAATAAAAGAAGAAGAATTGTTCGTAAAAGTTTAGAGAATTCGTTTGTATTTGCGATGTGAGTTGCAGCATTCGGGTTGAAGGTTTCGAAGCTTCCTCAACAAACGCAACGCACACAGAGAGAGGAAGGAGAGAATGGCGAAGCGTAGCTTTCTATGGCGAGACGGTTCTCTTTTCTTGTTTGAAACGGCCTCTCTTAACTATCTCTTCAATCCGACGATGATCAGGACTCGGACATTCATCGAAACAGATTTAACCGCCAACCACTCCATTAAAAATCACAGATCGGCGCAAGCGGCGATGAACGACGACAGAATTAATCCAATTGAAGAAGAAGAAGATAAAGGAGACAAACAATGAACAGGTCGATGATCACGATGCTCTCCATCTTAATGACCCTAGCTCTCTCGATGGATGCACAAACGAGTGGCTCCGATTTGATCTCTCAAGTCTGCGAGCACGTACCTCGCAGGGGCTTCTGCGAATCCGCGCTCCGGTCCGATCCGAGGAGCGAGGGGGCGGACACGGCCGGGCTCACGGCGGTCGCGCTCGGCCTCGCCGCCGCGAACGCGACGGACACCGCCCCCTTCATCGGCCGGATGCTCGGCGGCGGCGGGGGGAGCTTGGGCCCGGCGGTGGAGCAGTGCCTCAGCGAGTGCGCCGACCAGTACGCGGACGTGGTGGAGCAGGTGGAGGCGTCGATCGCCGCCGCGAGCGCGGGGGACTACGGCGGCCTGAGGCCGTGGGTGAGGGCGGCGATCGCGGACGCGGAGTCGTGCGAGGAAGGGTTCAGGATGGAGGCCGGGGGCGGCGACCAGATGATGATGTCGCGACGGAACAAGGTGTTCAGGCTGCTGTGCGACACCGCGCTGAGGATCGTGGAACTGCTGGTGCTCGCCTGACTGACGAAGGCGACGATGGATGGATGACGCGTTCCGTCGTCGGAGGGACGGTCGAAAACGAGGGCGCGAGGAGAGAGAGAGAGAGTGGAAATTGAGAATCGTTGAGGCAATAAAGAGCGCGAAAATGTTGAAAAGGAAGGAGGAGTAGGGTAGGACTGAGCTGTTCTTCTGCAGAACCGTGAAAACTGTACAGAACATTTTATTCGCCTTTTAATCCTCCAAAATTGCATTCTCAGAAACATATGGAAATGTCCTTACTGGCCTTGCGCTTGTTCACTCGTCTTGGAGTTTCATCAAACAATTGGTAAAGCTCTCACAGGATGCATTAACCAGCTGATCTCCTTTCAGGCTTTCGGTGCTATCATGCTCACGAGCTTCTAGTTTGATAGATAGACACGGGATGAGAACAACAGCAGCAAGAGTGTCATTAGAACTTACTTTCGTATAAAGCATACTTAAGTGTCATAATACATTGGAAGTAAAATCGATCATTTAAGTGTCATTTCTAACAAATCGTCCTACGCGGATTTTTTTTATAATTTTTTTCTTTTTTTATTTTTTCTTTTCCCTTTTTTTTTGACCTGTTTTTTCAGTGCCGACGAGGGTCACCGGCCGCAAAGGCCTCACCCAAAATAGGCGAGGGCCACCTTGGCTTTGGCTAACAGGGCTACAAAGGCCCTAGGCGAAACCATCGCTAGCCGTCGATGAGGCGGCCCTAGCCCAGTCTTGCGAAGGCCTTCACACCCTGGCCGGCAACCGGCGTGGTTGCAAAGGCCTTCCCCAACGCCCGGCAAGGCCTTTCCGTGAAGGCCCTCCCCAGCACTAAAAAAAAAAAAAAGCAAAGAAAAAAAGGAGAAGAGATATAAAAAAATTTACAAAAATTATCTATATCAGCATCGGCGATGCCACATAAAATAACCAACAAAGCAAATTGTTGATGGCACTTAAGGGATCGATTTTCAATTTGTGAAACTTAAGTGAGCAAAAAAAAAATCAAGATAGGCACTCTTGCTGTATTTATCCTGATAGACAGTGCATGACATTGCAGGTACAAGTTTTCAGTTGTATCCAACAAGAGTACATAGTAGTCGGAGCTTAGTCCTTGCTAAACAAGCACCCATAAATCCCCGTTCGTTCATGGTACCGCACGAGGTGATGTAAACTTCTTAATAAGCATATTTACGAACTTTTTGCAGAATTCGAATTTCAATACAACAGTGTGATTGTTATCAAGTAAATCAAATTATTGTCTACATTGCTTCCCGGGCCAACTTAATGTAATCAGCACAGCATACCTTTTACCAGAAAGTATCAGCGAATATGTTATATAAGCTGAGATTGAATGGTTGACAAAAGAGCAATACAATAAAAACGAATTGGAGATTCGCCTCAAACTGGACATGGGCATCGGTTTAGCTGACTTTAAGTATCCTTATAATAGCACAATTTGGTTGATATGCTTGGTATAAATTGAGGAGATGCAATGACTACTTTTGCCTAAGCAGTCCTTGCACTATTATAGAACTCGACTTGGACGCAAGCGCAACTACAGCTGGTAAAGGCATTTCAGCATGACCACCCTCCTCATCATGAACAGAACGGTACAAATAAGCGTCAAACATCAGCAGTATGGAACTTACAGATTGCACTTCAATGGCTGGTCTATGCTACAACTTAGATTTTATGAATCAAAGCATACTTCATCCTTCTTTTCCCTTGAAGCATGCAGTGATCTGTTGTTGATAATCAAGCTGCACTCTCTGGTTTCAGCATACCTGATCACCTATGGGAATAACTTCTTCGTGGGCTATAGATCTTCCAGGATCTACATCTTATAATGAATTATCAATCGCCCGCGGAACCGACTTCACCTGGACATGGAAAGAATGAACGTATCAGCACAAACAATTTCCTAAGAAAATCAGGACTTTCATTTGGTAGTCGCATACTGAAGTGCTCTCCCACGTTTTGCTCAGACAAAATTGGAAAAGATGGACTTGACGTAATCATGATATCTCTGAAAGTCTGGTTATTGAACAGCTAATGATGGCAGCAGTAGCACGGACAACATTGAGGCAAAAGTAATAAAAGACATGATGCAGGGTCAGCCGCAACACTTCGGCATCTCCGTAGTTCCTTTTCCTAATAAATCTTGTTTAAATTACTGGTGCATGTATGATTGATCATTTCCCAGTAAGCTAATAAGCCTTGACCATTCTCTTACTTGGTCACGTCTACAAAAAACCTGCCTATACAGTTGTTCTGGCCAATGTGCTAACTGGCTAAAGAATGAACTCTCCATGAAGATACAGAGGAAACAAAATCCCAGCAAAATGAGGATAGCAAATCAGTAAAAAGGACCCTTTAAGAGATATCCACGCACAAACTACAGCTATCATTTAGTCTTGTTCTAGAATTTTGGTCAAAATCAAATTTCTTGCAAAAGCATGGTCATAACGACAACCATATCATGGAAATTATAAAAACAATTAGAGATTTGTCTCTTCATGCAGTCTACTCTCAGCTTCAAAGCGTGACTACTAGGGTGGTTAGTGTACGGGAAGGCACAGTAGGAGATGAATGGTAACTGTCACACTTACAAGGGTTTGAATTGTAAATCTTCCATGGATTTTTAATGCTTCAGTAGATATTTCTGCTGAAGTAGCTGATCGAGAGTAAGATGTGTAATTCCATAGCAACAAGTAGGTCAAGCATGATAATTGTCAAACTTACAACTAACAAGGGGCTAAAATTTTAATTGCAGCTTTTATATCAAATCCACCGACATTGGAGAAAACTTCTCCACAAGCACCATTGGTTGCATGACTAGTGTGGAATGAGTAGTTAATGTAGTGGAAATCTCTGCTTCTGTGCGTTCAACAGTGTTTGTGACTCTGGAGAAAAGATTCTCCAATGCGCGCCTGCTCAAAATTCTTATCTTATTTATTAACAACTACTCTCAGGGTTTTCTATTGATACTCCAGTTATCCACATATCTGCAAATCGTTACATCCTGATTATGGAGATCAAGTCAAGATCCTCCACCTGTTAGCATTCTAAAACAATAGCAAAAGTAGAAAAACCAGGCCCTGGAAGCAGCCTATCAATTTGATCGCTTCTTACCAGTTCTCGAAATTTAAGAATGTAAAGCATCTCCACATAACGTCGCGTTTCACGCCTCTCTAGCTTGGAAACATGCTTCCAGAAGCCATAAACCCCAGCCAGTGTCATCAACCTTTCAGAATAGATCTTCCACGTATACCTGCAGATCAGTGAAAGTCCGACTAAGTCGCATGTATTCAAGCTGAAGATGCATCATACTGGCGCTGTCTACCACTCACCGATCATAAATCCTCTGGAGCCCTGCATCAGATATTTTCTTCCAACAACTAGAGTCCTCCTTGCACCGTCGTAAGAAATCAACCATGAGAGCTGAAGCCTGGTCTGGGTGATAAGGATCGATATGGAAACCTGACACACCGTGCTCAATGATCTCTGCAGTACCTCCATGGCAAGTGGCAAATGTTGGCAAGCCACAAGTCATGGCCTCTACAACGGTGAGTCCAAAGGCTTCATACAGAGCTGGCTGCGCTCCAGAAGTGAACAAATAAGTATGGGTTTAGGGAAGGCCTTGAAAATGAAGACTCACCAACAAACATAATGTGCAAAAATTGCTCACCTGAACAAAAACACCTTTTGTGTCTGCTATGCATCGATATAGCTCACCATTGCAAGCGCGATTTGTTTGCATAGACATCCATCGAAACTGCCCATCTAAGTTGTACGTCTTAATCAAGTCATGCATCTTCTCAATTTCTTCCGCTTCTTCCCTATCTTTGGATTTCTTCACATCATTGTTACCAGCTATGACAACAAGATTAGCCAATTCCCTCAGTTCAGAATTCTTACCATAGCACTCCACCAACCCAGTGATGTTTTTAACTCGGTCCAACCTTGCCATGGAAAAGATAATAGGCTTGGATTTATCTCTCAATCTGCCACTGCAGTGTTTCATATGTTGGTATAAGAAAAAAGTTATGAGGCAAGGAATCCACAATTAAGATGGGACTCACATGTGCTTTTCATTTTGCCCAGTATGAAAGAGCAATTTCTCTATCGATTCATGTAAAGCTGTAAGTCGCCCATGTTTTTTGAAGTACGGAAAATAAATGCTCATATCTGCCCCAGGAGAGACTATATTGAACTTCGGATCAAAAACATCAATTCCATGAACGACCCTATACAACCCTGGAAGCGTAAAGGCTGTGTAGCTCTCATACTGCCCGACAGTATTCTTCCTGAAAGGAATGGCGAAGATTGAGTCATATTGGTAGATGGTTCACTCCACAACGCACAAGGGTCTCAGAAGGAAAAACAGGACAAACAAGATGAGTTGCACATTAATTACAGTCACAAAGAGCACGATTGAGCCACATAGTTTATAACCAAATACACTGATTTACCTATAAAAAAATTATTTGGGTACAGAGTTGAGCGAGCACTATCAATCCGTTATACAGAGCATACCCGACTTTGAACCAAGATTTTTGAGCGTTACCACATGGCTATCAGTTATTTTCCAATCTGTATGTTGATTATAGGTGAAGTATGCTCAAAGCATCTAGCATAGAGGGGGCATACTGATAATTGGACAGTGGAGAAACTTACGCTCCCGCTATTTCTTGATATGTGCTGGTGATGATAAAGTCGGCATGATTCATCGCAATTAGATCAGCAGTGAATTGACAGGAGAAGTGGTACTTATCCTCAAAATCCTTCCAGTATATGTCAGAATCTGGGTACTTCGTCTTCTCCAGGGCATGTGCAATGGTGCACTATGCAGAACAGGTATTGTATAACTAAAACAATACATGAAAGAAAGACTAGCTAAACAGCTTAGCTTCTACCCACTCAGATCCAAAAACAGTGGCAAACCTGTGTAACTCCCATCTTATGAGCCAATAATGATGCGACAAGATTACCATCACTGTAGTTCCCAATAATAAAATCTGGATAGCCTTGCAACTCTACGGCAATTTCACCTGCCGCATCCTGATAAGTGATGACATGACAAAATGATGATAGATGAGTATAGGTACAGCAAGGTATAAATAAGGACATCCATATCCATCCGAGACAGGAGAAAGCACGTACAGAAATATTAAAACTAGATAACCTAGTAAACCGGGAGAATTGCATGTTGCATCAGGAAAAAGGACACAGTTTTGCAAACCTGGTCCAGATTAAAAGTTGATTATGCATAGTTAGATGTTGCAACTTGAAGCCACAGAATGGCATCCACAATTTGGAAAAACAAGATCACACCACAGATTTTTCCCTAAATGGTGTCAGAGAAGTTGACAGTTCTGGTGAAATCAAGTCGTATCAATCACCCCCGGAAGAAACACAATAAGCAACAACACTAATTGGGACTAGGTAGCATGAAAGTGATTGTAGAAGTTCTTGAACTGAGCTTTCTTCCAGAGAAAATCCCTCCCGTCGGCCTCTCTTCCCTTCTAAGCCTCACTCCAATTAAAGAAAGAAAGAAAAAAACAAATAAGAAAACCAGGAAGAGTGCCGGTCAAGCTTCCTCCATTTGAAGGGCAGAAATTAGTAACATTTGGATAGTGCATACTTTCTTTGAGATAACGAGGACCAATGACTTTGTGTATGTCTTTGGAGGTAAAGTTGATCCGTTCATCGATCGCAGAGAAATAAAGTTTATATTGTAATGTATCATCATCGGATCAGGAATGGATAAAGTTTAGGGGATACAGATAGCTATTGAAACAACAAAAGTCATACAATTTACCTCAGCAAAAGTTTCCAAAAAAGGCCACACGTCAAATCTTGAAATCCATTCATGAAGAATTCCTTTCTCAGATCTGAAGGGAACTCGCAGAATATATGTGTGATGTGTTCCACTGACTCTTTCCAGCCGTTGGTTGCATGTAGTTCCTTTTGCATCAGGTATCAACCTAGTAACCTGAAAGAACAAAAATAAAGAAGAAGAAAAAAAAGGGAGAACCGAGAACAAATGGCAGTACCAGAGAAAGCAATGATAGCATGCTCAAGTAAAGTAATAAATCGGTTTATACATACAATGAGAAGTCTAGGGGTCACATCCAGTCCTTGCTTATGTATTCTGAGGAGCATTTCATTCTCCAGTGCCCGAACCTGATCGAGAATGTAGACAATCTGCATGCAGTAGCCAACATAATAACTAGATATGGTGACTCCCAGAGACCGCATCAATAAAGAAGAGGCAAAAAAAAAAACTTTCATTTATTTTGTTCCTAGTATTACAAAAAAGATCTAACCAAAAAAAAAGTATTATAAAAAAGATCAAAGTTTTACTTACCTGTCCTCCAGTATCCGGTAACCCCAACACATTAGCTTGCCCAAAATATCCGTGGGGGGACAATATGACGACATTAAATACCATCGGTATTCTGCCAAGGAATGCCTCTAGAGTGGAGGGATCGGGAGCCTGTAGGATATCCAACAGAAGACGCATCATCTCTAATGCCTTAGTTGCACTATCGCCCCAGCCTCTCTCAAACCCCATACCTTGTAACCTAAATGAAGTTGTGAGAAAAGAGTGAACATGTCAGGAAGAGAGATTTAAAATGCATGAAAATTTTATCTGTCCAAAAAATTCATGAAAACAAACTTACTCATATTCGAACTCTGAGTAGGGTGTGTCAGATGGAAGCCTAGAAAGATAATCCTCTGCCTTAGCCAAAGCAGACTCAAGTCTCGAAATATTTTGTATTCGGTCATTTAACATCAACGTCTGCAAAGGATGCTCATTAGTAGTGCAAGATCATCAGCCAGAGACACATGATGTTGAAGTAGCTCACAAGAATGTTGGAGAGATAAACATAAGGGTGACGCACATGCACATTATAAGGTTATAATAGTTGCGCCAACAATTTTCTCTCGAAAGGAATCAATTTCAGAGACTTACATGACCTTTATGTTTGTGCATACGAAGAAAATCAAGTAATGGCTCCAAGCAATCCTTATTACGGAACATGATTGAAGAAAGGTGGCGGTTGAGAAATTGCACGCCATTGCCAATATATGACGATCGATTTGATCGAGGAAAGGTTGCATTGAATGGCTCAAAGTCAAGCTCAAGCACAAAAGGGGTATTTGACCTGATTCACATTCAAAAGGCAATGAAACTGGAACACGTGAAATTACATGATTCATTGAGAAAATTTAGAGTAATAACTGCATTATTAGGAAGAAAAAAAAAGTTGCTTACAGCCCATCCACAAGCTCTTCTTTGAATCGAAGATATTCAGATACAGTCAATTGATCCACACTAAGCTCATTCACGTTGATACGGACATATTCCCAAACACCAGGTCTTGGATGGACTGCTATTGCTACGAATGGAGGTAAAACTATGGCTTCCTGTTACCATAGGCAAAAAGAAACATTAACACTTTGCAAATAAACAGGTGAATGACACGTTGAGAGCCCGAACAAACAACTATTTGAGTCAGGTAAGAATTTTCTGAAGAGAGAACAATATATATGTATTTCTTCAGTCAACCCAGCCAGGACAGGTTAACAAATGATAAGAATGTGACCGAGGATTTCCTTAAAATAAAGCAAAAACATTTAGACAAACTATATGCAGTGGGAAGAAACTGCAACTCAAGTATATATGTAGATTAAACATTGCTTGGTTGTATTTTAAGTCTCCTCTCTTTTTACACAAACCAAAGTGATGGAACTGAAAAGAAGTAAATGCTAAAAATAGCAAGAAAAGCCTATGCCTGAGGACAATCACATGATTTGGCTTTGACATTCAGTATTTCACAAAAACCTCAGAGTCAAAATTATTCAAAAACATAGCTCCCCAAAGGCTGATAGCAGAAGTCATGACAAAAGCCAACTTGCAACTGCACCATATAGCTATGATGGATGTACAAAGTATATAGCCACAGTCGATGCAGAAGCCAAAAATGATATCCTCTCATAACCTGGTAGCAAAAGCCGTCTCAGCTGTCATCTCGTTTTGAGGTTGAAAGAAAATAACAAACATAAAGTTCTGCTGAGCTCCATGGTCCTAGCTGCAGTGAAGTTGCTTACTTCCGATAGCTCTACATAACCTCTACAGGCGTCAAAATCAACTCAACATTCAAAAAGTTGAAAAGAACTTCATTTTGGCTCGTTCTTTGTGTCCTTTTCTGTTCCCTTTCACCGAAAGTTGCATCTTATGAAAGGAAAAGTAACTAAAACGAAGATACACCTGTGCCGATTTTAGGTCCTCGTTGAAGGGGCAAGTGCTAAGACTTTGTCTCGATTGCTCATCATCCATGATGCTGTCAAGCTCATCCAGCAAGTGATGCGGCTGCAATATCCCTTTTCCCTGTTTCACATACCTTAAAATTGGAAATAAAATCACACAGGGGAAAAGTCGATACAAGCCAGTCGTTTCAAACAGCCAGACTGAAGTGACAATGACATGCTCCTCCCAGATGATTAAAACCCCCACTCCACAAGCTCTCACTAAGCTCTTTGATTGCCAGTGAAATGAATAGCTATGCGATTTGCATGAAAGAAAACCACATGAACCCCCGATTATCTTTGTTTTTGTAAACTAAAAAAAAGGGATGTACAATGTTTTTCTTGATTGAAGTTTCATGTTAGACGGTAACGCGCTTATGTGAAAGCTGAGCTGGTAGAATATCTGAACGTGATGCATAAATAATATTCTGTCTCCTTGACACGTTTACACCCGAGACAAATCAATTACCAAACGAACGAACAATTGACGGAACCGGATGTCAAACACTAGATCTCCAACTTCCGTACCATCTCAGTGCGAATTAAACAAAGTACAACCATAGTTACTCAAGGTCGAACCAAAGATAAAGCCGCAAACGAGATCCGACGAAATATAACGAGTTTGTCTTCTATCCACCACAACCATTTCAGTAAACACTATAAGGTCAGGAAAACCGTCTCCTCTATTGATGATGATGGAAAAATAACGGAGATGCATAACTAACTCATCTCTCCTAAATTAAGCCATGACTGATTATTAGGGATGACTAATTCTCCTCCTCTTCTGGAAACCTCCTTCGACACCTCCCGGACAACCACGGATTGAATGCATCCAGCAGGCAAGAACACACGGCCGAGGATGATGCGAACGGCAAGGAGCAAACGGACCTGGAGAGAAGCGAGAACAGATCGTTGCAGTGAGCCCTGACACTGTCCTCGACTCGCTCCTTCATGCTCGGCACGCGATCTAGCTTGGCAGTCGCCATGACCTCGTTCGCTCCTCGAAACTTGCTATCTTTCCGCTATGAAACTCTCGAAGGTTCGCCAAAAGGGGGGGAACACACAGTCTTTCGAACGGAGAGAGGGGTGTTTTGAGTTTTAACCATTAGCGAGCGAGAGCAATCGAACTTCGAGGCGAGAAGAGAGGAGAGATGAATTGAAGGAGGAGGAAGGTGATGGTGGTGGTGGTGATGGTGATCGGCCATGGAGAATCGCTGCCATGTGTTCCCCTCTCGCGCTCTCATCTTGCGTTGCGCGCGCGAGCTCGTTTGCCCGAGTCAAAATCTCGTATATTTATTGGCTGGAAAATGGCCTGATTAAAAAAAAAAAAAAACACAAACTTTAAATCGAATGATAATTCTGCCTCCAACTTTTTTTTGTTTCTTAAGAAAGTATCAACTTTAGGTCGAGTGACAATTCTGGCCCTAATTTTTTTTTGTTTTATAAAAAATCACTAATTTTCATTTAAATCGCAAATCTAGCCCCCCCTGATTTAGAACCATTGATTATCTAACTTAACTATTCTACCTCAGCAATGAATCCACGTGGCTTACTGATTGGATTTAAAGCACTATTCATTGTCTTTTTCTCTAAGCCATAGCTTGAAGAATAACGGCGAAACTCTTCATCTCATTCACTTTACCGACACGTAAAAAAGATCTCCAAATTGAATCTCTTTAGTCACACTTCATAATTTGAAGTTGTAGACCACCACCCGTCGACAAACGCCATGGACGAGATCCGCCAAGCTCACGACCATAACATTTTTTCTCAAACAAGGGTGAATTCAGGCAGAAAGTCAACGAAGAGCCAGATTTGGGATAATAGTAAAAGTTTGTGATTTTTTATAAGATAAAAAAAGTTTGTGCCATAATTGTCACTCGACCTAAAATTTGTACTTTTTTACTGGACAAAAAAAAGTTTGAATCAGAATTATCACTCAACTTAAAGTTTTTACTTTTTTTTGGAATTAGCCCACTAGAAAATACAAAAAAAAAGTGTAAAATTATCTCATTAGCCGTAAACTCTTGTAAATTGATATTTTATTAGTCGATCTACCTCCGTTGGGTGGAATTCTCTTATCCCATATGATATGGCCTAATCTACTAAATTAAATTCCACAAGTTTCCGGATTCCACCATGTGTTTGCACATCGGTGTTCGAATTGCCCCCTAAACGTCGATTTTTTTCAATTTGCTCCCACGAACTTGACAAGTTCGTGTTAATTAGCCCCCGATCTTAGCAAACATTAGGTCACCGTCGACAATGTACGCAAGTCTCGCGTGCCATTTCTCGTACCAAATGAAGCGCAATCGAGAAAAATGATAATGGTCCTTGCTGAATGGCGTATATAATTTAGATATTTTATTACTAATCACGAAATTATTATTATAGTTTCATACGTCAAGTCGTATGTGGGTGGCAAGTATTAACTTTTTGATTTGACGAACGGAAAAGGAAAAAAAAAACGATATCAATACAGAGAAAAGGAAAATGGGAAACAGTGAAAAAAACATTTTTCCATGTATCAAATCGAAAACCATAGCTCATTTGGTTCGTCGTATACGCAGCCCAAGCGACGATCATCTCTAGCAATTCTTTTTTAATTAGCAGTGTCTTATCTCTCAATATATCTACCTTATTACGATCACTCTAATCATTAGTCCTACCTTGACAATCAATAGGCACAATTATCTTAATTTGCATGCGATTCTTAAGAATCTTAATTTCATGTGAGCATTTCGTGAAGAGGAGTAGGGAATATACTTAAAATAAGTCGAAGAAAAATTACACCTGAAATTATGTTAAGAATTCTTGCCACCAATCTAGAGTGGGCCCCGCATACATCGGGTCCTTCGAAGCATGAACTAGGGGTGATTCATTTCACAGTGAATAGGTCCCAAACCTGGAACCTAAAACTTACCATGTTATAACCGATTCTTAGTTTTTGAAATCTGAAATCTATTCTGTTTGCCCTGAAACCTACTCCGTTTTTCCGGTCCACATCTACTCGAAAATCCATTTTTTTTTTGTTTGTTCCTTTTTTCTCTCTTTTCATGAACATGCATTCTGATATCATTTAGACATTTTGTCAAACAAGTAATATGCACTACAGTCAAGGGGCCTAGACAAAAGATCGAAGCAAAATTTCATTTTAGGATCATAACCTCAACAACAATAACTCGTAAGGACGTCACTCATAAAAAGCCCCATCGATTCGAGTCGATTTTTGCACAAGCTTAATTACACATCTCAATCCTACGGCCATCCGTCCCCATTAACTCAATCCTCCACGATGGCAACAGTAAGAAAATGGACAGAACATAGATTGAAGAAACGAATCCACACAGAACAAGGAATCGACATGCAGGCTATTGACTCAAATCCGTTTACATGCCATTGACGCCAACCATCACCACCGAGACGAACATACACACGGGAATGGAACAAAAATATCTGGGTCACGGTGCTTACAAATTTAACGTGATTGCTTGTAAATCCAGTGAAAGAATCAAATCCGAGCACTTTGACGTGTAAAATCCAAATATTACTGTTCATCGATTGATACTCTCGTCGACGGGCGGTATTCGATTCATCGCAATGATAAATACTTCAAAGCACGTAAAATGTAAAATAAGGTCTATAAAAGGAAGTTTTTGTGCAAAAAAGTCGATTGCGAATGAAATAAAAGCGTTGCGATAAAAAAGAAAGAAATAAAAGCGCCTTTTTCATGTCAGATAATAAAAAATAGGGATAAGTGCACTAAAAGTTTTAAAACATAGCACGAAAGTACAACTGAGTCCTAAAATTTGCAAAAAGTACGATGAAATCCTTTAACTTGTTAAATTGGTGCAGTCGAGTCATTCTGTTAACTCCATCCAACTTGACTAACAATGCCGACGTGACTTTTTTCTTAATATTTTATCTCTCATACGTTGCGATGATGTGGCTAAAATATGAAACATGATGCTAAAATGACGTCATTTTGGTTTAAATTTAATTTTTAATACAAATTTTATTTAAATTAAATTTAAAATTTAATGGCGGTCCTCGATCAGGTCTACATCATTTTGGTTTAAATCTGATTTTTAATACAGATTTTATTTAAATTAAATTTAAAATTTTATGGCCGCCCTCGACCAAGCCTAGACTAGGGCCAGCAACCCTCGCTTGATTTGGGGTGGGGGAGGGCCGCAACCCTCACCTAAGGGTGGCGATGGTCTCCGGCTACTAGCTAGGGCTCAACCCCACCGGCCATCCCCCACTCTCGCCGCCCTTCTCGATGATGGCAACGGCAGCAAGCCTTGGCCGCTGTTTCGCACGTCTCCTTTTTTAACCTTTAAATTTAGCTTATTTTTTAAATTAATTTAAATGAAATCTGTATTAAAATTTATATTTAGATCAAAATGACATCGTTGCTACATATAATAGAGAAAATAATAATATGAAATTAACGAAATAACTCGATTACACATATTTGATAAATTTTATGAGATTGCATTATTTATTACTTTTAGTAATAAAATTTATGACTCAATTATACTTTCAATTTAACCCGTGGGCCATCCCCGTGCATTTTCCCCACACTGTCCGCACATATTACTCTGGTCGACCAATTTCCTTTATTTTTCCCCGAAATAAGGAAACATAAAAAAAAAAACGGAAAATTGAAAATGAAACGGGGAAGGGGGACCGAAAAGAATTTCCCAACCCGACCAAAATCGCTTCTTACCTCACGGATCAACGAGAAGATGCCTCGAATCAAAACCAGTATCATCATCATCATTCTCCTCTTCAGAAGCCCTAACTCTGCAAATCCCACCGCACCCACACACCCACCCTCAGGAAAACAGAGATCTCCCCTCCTCTCACACGGACCCCCGACAATCTTCATCATCACCATCGACAACCAGATGAGAGAGAGGATCGGCGGCGGCGGCGGAGGCGACGGCGACGGCGACGGCGAGGGGATCCTGCGGCGAGGAAACTAAGGGGTTTTCTTTAGCGAAAAGGAAAGGAGTGTGTATGACGATGAGAAACAGAGGAGCGGCTGTCTGCTGAGGTTAGTAACCGGTTCCAAAAACCGGTCTGGTCGGTCCGGTTCCCACACCTTCTTTCGGGTTTGGCCCATAGGCCGAAGCGGTTTTTCTTTTTTTTTTTCTTTTTCTCTGGTAGTTCTCCTTTTTACTATTTTTTATTCGATTTTCCGTGCGTCAAATCGAAATTCGTCTGGTCGGCGATAAATTTGTTCCTCGGGAAAAGAAATTTTATTTAAAAAAGAAAAGGCGAAATGCATGTCTCGCATCCACCGGATATGCGCGGCACTCGCGGCAGCATCTCGGGCGACTCTGTCTCTCGCTCTCGCTCTAACTCTCGTCTCTCTCTTTTCTTTTCTCTTCCTGGGCCTTCCTTCATCGTCTGCGAGGTGTTCCGCGGGCAAGAGCTTCACCTCTGACCTTGCAACATTCGTCCCTGGCTGGCGTCGCCCAAATCCGCGGTATGAGAGTCTTTAATCACTGCTGAAATACCCCGAGATAAAGTCGATTGCGTGCTCACATCGAGTCATTGCAAGGATAAGGTTCGCGGGTCAATGGCAATGTGGTAAAATCCGGGGTTCCTTTGGTCGGTGGGTGAGTTCGCAGAAAGAGGGATTGAAAGAAAGTCTGAAAGTGTGATTTTTTTTTTTAAATCCGAGGAAACCGTCGTTCATGCTTCTCGACAGGGTCCACAATGGCGTGGCCTCTGATTGTTTTTGTGGAGTGCGTAGACTCATCGCTCGCCTTCTTATTTTTTGATTCGTTAAGTTGTTGCCTTCTGAATTTTGTTTACTTATCTTAAATGGTGGTTGTTAGTTCTACGGTCAACCTATAAAAGCTTGTTTTTTTTTTTCATCTCCCTGCGCTTGCGCGTGAAATTTCAGTCAGGACTCTGTTTTCGATCATTTTCGTTAATTGCTTGCGAGGAAGCATCCTGCATAGCGTCATTCTTGGAGTAGTTGCCCATTTACTTAGATTTTCACCCTAGTTCATTCGGCTGTGATCAATCAAGACTGGCTTTGTTGCTTTGAACAGATAGATAATCGAATCTGAGGAAGTTTGGAGAACTTTTCCCGCATCATACACACCATGCTCAAGGTCCCGGATCATCAAGTCGCCGGTCACCGAGCAGACGGCGGAATGCTTGGGCCACTGGTGGATGATTCGGGCCGCTTCTATAAGCCTCTCCAGAGCGATCAGCGCGGAGCCACGGAAGTGGCCTTTTACGAGTCATTCTCTTCCAATGCCGAGATCCCAGGTCACATTCGCGAATTCTTTCCGGTGTTTCACGGAACTCAGAGTATAGAGGCATCTGATGGATCGGGTCCTCAACCTCACCTGGTTCTGGAGGATCTCGTCGCGGGTCGTGTGAACCCATCTGTCATGGACATCAAGATGGGATCCAGAACATGGTATCCCGAAGCTTCTGAGAAGTACATCCAGAAGTGCTTAGAGAAAGATCGAGATAGCACGAGCGTTTCACTGGGGTTCAGGATTTCGGGGCTAAAGGTATATCAGAATAGCGAAGCCGGGTTTTGGCAACCTGACAAGAAGGTTGTTTATAGCTTTAATGCGGATGGTGTCAGGTTGGCACTGAGGAAGTTCGTTTCTTCTAACTTGTCTGTGGGTTCGAATGCGGATCCGGATTGTTCGTATGCATCAACAGTTTACGGTCACTCGGGTGGGATTTTGGCACAATTGTTACAGCTGAAGCAATGGTTTGAGGTTCAGACGACTTATCACTTTTATTCTTGTTCGATCCTCTTCTTTTATGACAGGGAGTCGGCTTTGGACGGCTGTGCAGACCCGAAAGTTAAACTGGTGGACTTTGCACATGTGGTGGATGGCCGCGGCGTGATCGATCACAACTTCTTGGGTGGCCTCTGTTCTTTGATCAAGTTTATACGTGACATTGATGATGAAGATAACAAGGGCGCAAATTGCCAAGTCAAGCTTGGATATGAAAAATCATAGAAAGAAAAGGCCTATATAAGAGCAACACGGAAGCAGAGCTTGTTCCCTGTGGGAACTGGAGACTAACTGCATTCCTGCTCTGATTAGTGGTTCAGAGAAGGTATAATAACAGTCTGAATTAGTCGTAGCTTTTTTATTTCTCAATGGCCATGCTTGTTTACTGTACTTGTTTGGCCGGAATCTGCTGGTGATTCATCTCTCCTTTGAACCGTACTTCTTATTATTTGCACGAGACAGTTCATTTGCCAACATGCTTGTTGTTTTGGCTAACTAGCATGCTCTATGTTCATGTTTTGCTGCACTTGTTGTCTGCAAAAAGTTCTGCTCAGCGCATTAGATCAGTAATTTGTATATGTTTTGGTCGCGTTGACTCGAGCACCCCGTGTCTCCATGGCCGTGCAAAGTGCTTGATTCTGTCCATACGAAGGTGAAGTTCTCGTGAATCGCCAATTAAAACTTTGGATATGGTAATTATTTCTGGCATAGAAATAGGTGACAGAGAAACGCATGAAACGCTCTGAGTTTACTTTTTATAATTTCTCGTTCGCCTAGTCCGCTCCGCATGAGCTGTTAGATTATGGTCCCATATGAACCAGGCTAATACGGATCGAAGTCTGATCCTCCAATACTTGTTTATTATTTTGTTAAGTAAGAGAACAACCCAATAGTTTCCACTGGCCTCTTTGGTCAAACAGTTGTTTAGTTATTATAGCTTTGGGCAACACTTTTTTGATCACATGCCAATATCGAAACTTAAGCTATTGGCAAAGGGCCAAAAGACTTGATCACACTAATTAATTTCAATTAGACAACGACCTCAGATAAATAGTAGCTTCCTTTCTTCATTTCTTCGTAATCACGAGGTGTAAACAAAAGGCCCCACGGAGAACCATTTCATTCTCTTGTCCTTTGAGAGGCGATAGGATGAAAGAAGAGCACCGGTGACCCCCCTGTTCACATCCGTTGGGACTTTGCAGGTCTCTGAGGGAGAAAACTCCAGGAAAGCCTTGCAACGTGTGAGCTTCCAGTCATCTTCGACCTCCGATGGCGACAAAGTCGCCGAGAAATAGCCGTTTGCATCAGTGGGTCTGCTCAAGATGCAGAACGGAGCAGTTTCGTACCCTCGCTTGTCCACAGCCAAACATGTTATTCTCGCCCGAGCACCTGGAATCACATTATTGTGTTCAATTTCTTTTCGCTTTGTGGAAGAGTAATTGTCATGTGTATTGCGACTTACCCATGATTTTATCTATCACCACATATGGAATTCCACTCATTAGCTAATGTAAATTTGAGAGAGAGGAGAAATGAAGCTGGGAGGATGTACCATGTTTAGGCAGTTCAACAACTGTTCTATTTTCTTTACCGGAACTGTCTAGTGTCTATCGCCATCAAAATTGAAGACGATGGTGTGTGGATTTGCTGTATGAGATCCAACACAGAGACCGAATGATATACTTCGACGTGATCAAGTCGCTCTAACAGTTATTCTTGGTTACGATAGCGTTGGCATGTGCAAATCACTCTTACATTTGCGGATGAGCGGGCCAAAATTCGCAACATCTCGTTTTAAATGATTGTGAGCAACGAAAGACAAGTGAGCACAGACAGACAATAGCCGTAGAAGATCAGAAACCGGCATGGACAGAACATGGGAGCATTAGGTACCTTGGAGCGGGACGAGCTTCGAGCCCGATCTACAGTAAATGACTCCTTGAATCCCAATGTTTGTGGACAGGAGGCTTTGGTCTCCATGCTGTTTCGGCTTCATGAGGGTGGATCTGGATCCATAAGCATCGATGTCGGCGGCGAAAACGACCGCAAACAGGGGCAAGAGAAGCAAACATTTGGCGAGACACAGATGAGCAAGAAGAGCCATTCTCGTTTGAAACAGAGTTGGGTTGTCAACCAGTGTTGGCTAAGGCCATCAAACTCTCTCTGCATCTTATACGTATTGAAAGTGTCCATTCTTAGTGGCTAACAGTTCGCATTTGGAATGCTTTACATGTCTGCACGTTGGGGTGTTGATCTTGGTGGGAGGCAACAATGCAATTTCAATTGGCAATGCTTTTTCATCGCGAACGAAATAATCAATTTTTTCATATATAAAAAAAATTGTTAATACCATCAAAGTGGATTGGCTCAGCTGATAAGGTTCGATCTCTCTGCACACCATAACCAGATTCAAATCCTGCTGCCAGGAATCCCTTTAGAAGGTGATTTGTAAATCCACTATAAGACCTTCTAGGCCTGTGCTATGCTTTACTTTGGCATGAAGTAACCTCCCCTTCTTCTAAAGGCTAATATCATTGCAAATCCTAAACCGGTCCACTCATGCTACATTAACCCCAAACTAACTTTTGACTCACCAAAAATACCAAACTAGTACGCCCCATGCCACGTTTACCCCAAACTAATTTTCGTACCACAAAAATTTTTCAAACTGGCTCACTCGTGCCACATTTACTCCCAAACTAGACGTATCGGTTCAGATTTTTTGGGACATAAAAATTAGGATAAATGTGACACGAGTGTACTATATTGGGATATTTCGTGGTATTTTAATCCCAAAAGGGAAAGGCGATCCTGTCTCATTTTTCAGGGTTGAAACTTTACAGGGATCTCCAAACTGGGCCGAACGAGTTCAGCAAAGCTTCAAATCAAGGTGATGGGTGTAAGAAATACAAGGAAAGACCAGGCGAAGAAGCCCAGCCCATCACAGAGGAAGCTCTGGAAAACCCTAGGCAGAAGCTGTGGTATATAAACACTCCGCCTTATCGCTTTCCATCTTCTCTTCAGCTCTTCACCCAAGCATCGCGACCAGCGAGAGAGAGAGGTGAGAGATGGTGTCGCTGAAGCTTCAGAAGCGGCTCGCCGCCAGCGTTCTCAAGTGCGGCAGAGGCAAAGTCTGGCTCGATCCCAATGAAGTCAACGAAATCTCCATGGCCAACTCCCGTAAGTCGTGACGCCTCTCTCTCTCTCTCTTCGTTTTGCTTTTCCTGCTGTATGCTTCGTGCGTCTATCTGCTCGTGCGTGTCGTGTCTCCTAGATGTCCGTTCGGAGCTTCTGTTGTCATTGTCTCGGTAGCAAATGGTGGGTGGGGGAGGGGGGGGGGGGGAAGAGATTGAACAACGGGTTTTAAGTATTTGGGTTGATTGGTGAGCTTACGTACTTGGAGGTCAAGTTTCTGGCGCTGTTAGTATGGAGGATGAGGATGTGAAGGCATTTCTTGGTTGGCTGCCATGTGAATTCGCTTGTGTTTGTTGCTTTTTTTGTGTGGCGTTCGTGTTTCTTGTGCTCTTTGCTTAGTGTGCTTGCTGGGGCGGGATCAATTGGTCTTCCGTTGCTGTTAATGTGAAGAGTTGGTGTTGTGGGTAGGAGAATTTATCGACAAGCGATTGTGTGGTTTCCGCGACTGGCCTTCGATTCTGCTGTTTGGTTCGTAAGGAAGGAAAGGAACATTTGGAGGACTTCTGGTTGTTGTTTTTCTTTTCAGCTTCATTTAGAGGGGCTGAGTGGGATCTTGGCTAGAGTTATTGTGTTAAGACTGTGTACGTTTGGTTGTGTCAGTTGAACTTGCTTGTTGAGTCGCTACTAACTTCCACTCCTTTACTTTCTATCTGGGTTCGCATCGCAATCAAAGTAATCAACATCTCAACTGTGGCTTGCTTGTTATTTGGGTTCTTCTAATCGATTCCACATAGAGGACAACATTCAATTTAGAACTGTTGATCCAGTTTCACGAGTAATTTCACTAGCACTGCATTCCCTTGCTTCAACATCACCCCTCGCAAAGTGGTGGCACTTCCTCTGAGCACTGGTTGCATTCTTCTTGTCAGCCAGGAGTGGCTCAATAGTTAAGTTTCTCTTGCCTTCATCAATTGACAACAATTTGGATGTTTACACAGGCCAGAACATCAGGAAGCTGGTTAAAGATGGTTTCATTATCAGGAAGCCCACTAAGATCCACTCTCGATCTAGGGCACGGCGCATGAAGGAGGCCAAGAGAAAGGGCCGTCACTCAGGATATGGTAAGTTTCATCTGAATGGAGAGATCTTCCGAAATTAGAGCTTCAGTATAGTATGAGCTCAGTATGTTTATTTTATTTTTATTTTTATTTCAAGTGGGAACAACTCTGTACTGAAAGGAAGAGCTTTTTCCCAATGTATTATGTGTCTGTATTGTAATTTTTAGTCTCTATGACATAACCATTGCTGTTGGGAAGCTAGTAAAACCTTAGGAGGCTGTGAAGAGTAACTTGACCTGATTTCAGGTAAGCGCAAGGGTACGAGGGAGGCAAGGCTGCCCACAAAGATCTTGTGGATGAGGAGGATGCGTGTCCTTAGGCGTTTGCTCCGCAAATATAGGGAATCAAAGAAGATTGACAAGCACATGTACCATGACATGTACATGAGGGTGAAGGGTAACGTATTCAAGAACAAGCGTGTGCTGATGGAGAGCATTCACAAGTCGAAAGCAGAGAAGGCCAGAGAGAAGACATTGTCTGACCAATTCGAGGCTAAGAGGGCAAAGAACAAGGCAAGCCGGGAAAGGAAATTTGCTAGGAGGGAGGAGCGTTTGGCCCAGGTGACTCTTATCACCAGCTAGACAATATATAATGATTAGACGAGGGAATCAATTAAGTTGAATTTCGTAGTTTGAGTCCAAAAGTAATTATCTTGTGTTTAAAGAGCCAAATGAAGTAAAACAAGCTCTGAGAACAGATGAATGAAAATGTATTTATGTATCATAGGTGGATTCTAAATTGATTCCCTTGTCTAAATTGAACAGGGACCTAGTGAGAAGCCAGCAGCAGCACCACCAGCTACAGCACCTGCAGCTGAGTTAGTATATGCAACAAAATGGGCAGATTTCTCTTTATCCACAGTTGGATTTATCTGAGAGAATTTTATTTGGCTTTCAGGGTACCGAAGAAGGCAAAGAAGTGAGACCCGTGATGAAGAACACTGAAGAGTACACAAATTTTGGTGTTCCTTGTGTCTTTAGTAACTATGTTAGATTATTTTTGCCTAATTGTTTCTGTTTGTCCTGGACCTTACTCTTTCATCTGGTAGAAAGACGGAGTCTGATGATTTTGAAAGTTCTATTTAGATCCTTGTCTTTCCAATTATTACCGTGGATTTCATTCTTTTAGTGTTGCACTTATTTTGAATACTCGGGTGTGGCTGTTTTTCTCTGATTCATCCTTACTCACTTCGTTAGATCCATCTTTGCGCATTATCAATTTGTATGAATGAAGTTTCTCTTCTGAAAAAGAGAGAGAGTGGCAGCATTGGAAGCTGGTACACCCATACGTCGTAGATGCAGCAGGGTGCGTTACTTATAGCAGTTACATTTGTCGTGACTAGAGTCGAAAATGATCACAATTCGTGGTTTTCTGTTATCATGTGGGGGTTTATCTTGCGTCAGAATAAGCAAAGCTGATATTGTCCTGCATACTTCAGGTAAGAAGCGTTGTGCTGCTTAAAACAGGCAAGCACCGTGTGTTAATCTTGTCTATCAAGAAAATTGACCCCAAAAACGATTATGTTTTGAATTAAGGTCTGCTTCTGGAGTGGAAGATGGGAAATTCTTCGTTGGGACTTAACAAAATGACCAGCCGGATGAAAAATTTAGCATCCTGTTTAGGATAAAAAGGTCTGTTTTCACAAGTTAGAGCATCGTCTTGCCTAATCTCTGGCATAGGTAAAATCTGAGTTTTGAATAAGGTCGCAGGAACAAATCTCAAATGCTTTCTTGAGCAAAAGAAAACTACTGGCAGATATCAAGTCGTGTTAATCAATACACATTTCTTGCAAAGAAAACTCCAGACTTAGTCAGATTCATATTTTGCCCAGAAAATGGAGAGTTCCTCCGGACAAAGCTTCCATCGCATGTAAATCTGCGTGAGAGGCTCTTGTGAAAAGCTTGAGATATCATTCGCAAAAATTAGGCGAGTAATTCCGAGAGCTTGCTCGTGCCGCGTTCAATTCGGCCACGATTCGGCCATCCCCCAATCCCCGCCCGGAAAGAAAAAGGCAAAGAACAACAACAATACTAATAGTTATTGCTATTATAATACTAAGAAATTTGCAGAAGGAGAGTGATTTGGTAATAGATTTTGCTAATAACTCTTAAAGTGCATGTTAGTCATTGCTCCGCATATAGAGAATGTGAACCATCATCATTGCGAATCATCCCAAACTATACAATAGTGCATCATGGACCTGGTTCCTACGATTATGTAGGGCAAGTGCAGACGCAAGAAAACTGAGAGTACAGGGATCAACGGTTATTCTACTGGAACAGTCAGAAAGTTATACTCACAAGACTGCTTGGACACTTGCGTCAGCTCCCCCGCGTTCTAGAGAATTCATCCCAATCCACCTTCAGTAGTATATGATAATTACTGGATCATACAAAAACTCTTTTACTTACAAAAAAATAGAAGGGCCTCCCTGCAAAACTTCTTACTCACAACCTCGAGACCTCTCTAATCAAGACATAAAGTTGATGCTTTGAAGTATCACTCAAGTATCAGATGTGTAGGCCTCCAAGATGAAGAGGCATTATGCAGTTAATACCCATTTTTCACCTGAACAATATCTTGGGAAGACCTCGTTGGGATACACCAACTTGCATTCGAGACTTCAAAAACTTCTTTGATACTGGGAGCTAGAGGGGACCGTTCTGTCAGTATCTCTGTGAGGTTTGTGCTGAGCAAAATCGGCGCTTCCATGACCAGACTGAGCTCTAGGTGTGCTCTTGTGTGCTGCCGAGTCATTTGCATTGCTGCATTTCTGTAGTTTGATGATAAAAGTGACTTCGGTGCCCTTGTCGTGGCCTTCACTCTCGATGGATATGTGACCTCCCATGAGATTTATAAATCTAAAATCATGAAAAGGAGAGTAGGCGAGATCTCAGATCACAAAACCAAGATAATGCAATTTCATCCGGTGGCTTGCAAACTTTAGTAGACAAAAGGGTCGAGAAAATTATCTCTGAGATATCAGGAGTGTCCAAAAGGGATCAGAAAAATAAAATAGTAACCGCTGCAAATAAATCAATCCACAACCTCGAGGGTTGCTATTTGATATTATGCTTTGAGAAGCCTAAATTTAAGGTTCAAAGATCCATGGATCTTTTCTGACTCAACTGAACTTATTTGAAGCCCTCCCAAGGTTGGACATTCTGACTCACGGTTCAGTGTGCATGAGACAATAGGGCTTCATATGCTTGAGGAACTAGCAATCAGTAAAGCGTCCAAACGACCATATATGCTTACACAAGAAAAGAAAGTTGCAATTTGAGCAAAAGCGTTAAGCAGTGTGCAATCTACCTTTTGCAAATGGCAAGTCCAAGTCCTGCACCGCCACTACCTCGATTAGATCCACTTTGAGGATGAATAAATCTCGTAAATATTTGAGAAATATCTTGTGGCTGTATGCCATAGCCAGAGTCCTTAACCTGTTATGAGAATCCAAGTCAGTTGCGTCATTAAGACAATGATAACCCAGATCGATTTTTACAAAAGATAGCCATGTTTTCTGATATGGGATGCGCTGTAATTCAAATTTATCAGAGCAAGAGAACGTGAAGCAAAGCAAAATATATAGCAAGCCTAGAGAGAGAGAGAGAGAGAGAGAGAGAGAGAGAGCTGAAGATAAGGAGTTTTGCTCAAAAGGACAATCTATACATGCTAAATGAAGCTAAACTGCAAAAACCATCAACCTGCACTCTCAGGTAGAAGTGGGCACTGCTAAAGACTGGATGGAAATCGGGTGGTCGCCACTCCGCTAAAGACTCTGGTTTTGCAATGGAAGCTACAACTGATACATAGCCTTGCTTTGTGAACTTCACCGCATTCCCAATTATATTTAGCATAGTTTGCATAAGGCGTTTCTCATCGCCAACAGCATGGGTAGGCAGGTCAGGAGCCAGAAATGCAGTCATGGATAGTTTTTTCGCAGAAGCAATGGGCTTTATCAAATTAATAACCTGGGCTTATAAGATAACCAATTAATCATGTTGCTTCTCGGATAAAGCAAATTAATGGACAAAATGAAGATTATTGTAAACTTCTTAAATACTGATAGCAAAAAGTTGCTATGTTTACCTCTCTGATGCTACCAGGAAGGTTGAATGTTCCAATGTCTAGCTCGAGGCTGCCATCCTCAAGTTTAGAAAGGTCAAGAACATCATTAATAAGTGTCGCCAAGAGGTTGCTGCTCTTCAGTATGGTTTCAATCATAACCCTTTGTTCGGGAGCCAATTCGTTATCTAGAAGCAGTGAAGAGAGCGCAATAATTGAAAGAAATGGTGTCCTCATTTCATGATTCATTACTGCTAGGAAATCATTGCGAGCATGGATTGCCATCTCTGCCTCGCGGCGAGCTAAATCTAAAGCAATATTCTGCTCAACAAGCTGATCCCGAGCTCGCATGGATTCTTCAAGAATAGCAGCATGTGAGAGAGCCACAGCTACCTAAATATGAAATTGAGATGCAAATTCAGCAGCCAGATAACATGGAAATCCTGGAACCAGTTTCATGATTTTTGAAGCAATAAAAACTAAGGAACCTAAGGAAAAAAAAAGTATAGAATGGCACTTGTGGACGGAAATATCAAAGTCGTGAATGATTGATGAGAAGCTTCAAGACGATGAAGACAACATATTCCCCAATGTAACACAAGACTATCATCCAAAGAATGCCAACACACCACCACAAAGTAGACATAAGGCGAGGAAACCTTCACATTCTTTCTTTCTCCGGTTTGAGTGATGTTCCAGACCATAATATCTCTCTCAAGGAGAGATTATCTAAAGAAACTAACAAGCGGGCAGAGTTTCAAAATTAGTTAGAATCAATCTTCAAAATTGTACCCTCTTCTTACTTCCAATACACTCCGATCCTATTATAGCAGCAGATATATCCAATTTATCCACCAGTATCGCCTGCTCCTTCTAGGTTTTTAATTTTCAGACTCCGCAGAAGGTTTCATGTAGCAATTGCTAAACTAAACCCCAAAGGCCCAAACTTTAAACAAGGACAGTCAAGGTTTTAAATTGCGGTTGCGGAAACCGTCACACCGCAGTTGTCATGGATGCTGACATAGTGGCTTCCTAATAGGTGATAGTGGTTGTGCAATTTCATAAAATTTGCAAAAACATGCCAAAGTCCTCAATTAACTTGTGTGAAGTGTATAAGGTTTATTTATCTATATTATGTTAGAGAGCAGTTCAAGTATTTAAGGGTGCCAAAAAGTTGAGTTATATAAATTTATGGATAGATTTGACAGAGAGGATAGGAGATATAGTTTGGATTGATGAATTACTCTCACACATGGCTATAAGTGATGAAAAGATAAACTAGGAAGTCAGAAGAATCACACTAATACATGACATGTTTACGTTTAAACAAAGAGATATCGCACAATATACCTAAACACAAATATCCTGACACATAGGAATTAGAATACCACAGACACACATGAAAACAACAATAATTATGGTTTATCACCACAATACATAAATACCACCCGCCTAAAAACATTTGACAAAAAAAGTTACCGTCTTATTCTCTCATGATCTTATCTTTTGTTATTCTTTTTCTTTTTTTGTTCTTCTTCTTATTTTGCGAAAGAATGCAAGATTTGGAAAGAAATTGTTTCTTGAGTTTCCGAGATATTTCTTGCAACCACTGCAATATCACAAATAGCAGCCATAAATCCGCGATAGCCGCAATAGCAGATATAGCAGCCACTATGGGCAAGTATCAGATTCTCGCTGCAATAGTGGCCAATAGCGGTAGCGGCCGCCGCTACCATTTTATACTGACCGCAACGTCCGGTGTCGACCACTATTTAAAATGCATGATGGACAGTCCTGACATCAGACATGGATCAGGCAGGGGAAGTGAAAAGCAGAATAAGGAAAGAACCAGAAGCAGGAGACAAGCCGACATATTTAATTCATGAAGAGCTCGTTAGTGATTTAGCATCTACTCTCAGTTGGAAACCACTAGGACAGGAACATGCATCTTAATGAACTTGCATGTGGCCCACACTGTAGCAGCATACTTCTCCCTTACAATTGTTGAAATAGAGATGACGTCTGAAATTGTTATATAGTGGAGGATATGCTAAAATCAGAACTAATAGCATCAAGAAAGAGTATAACGACTAATAAATTTCGGAGGGAAAGATATCAAAGCACCACTTCTCTGCTGTATTAGCATGATATCAAAATCCAGTGAGAGGGACCTGTGCAAAAGCAAGGTAATGGCCAGAATAGCTTCTAGCTTGTGATTATGCAAAGCTACTGTTATTCTCAGTTCAATAATGTTCCATGTTATTATATATCCACCAAACGGGGATATAGGGAGAGCAAACTTCTTGAAATGCGATTCCCATTCCATGAAACTTATTCATAGCTGTGCGTTGCCTAGGCCACCTTACAGTAAAGCCCCTCTAATTCCACTCATAGTGGTCTTTATTATTTGTTTTCATCCTTCTTTCAACCACTGCTTTGTGGACTACCATGCTTAAGTTCTAAAGATTTACAGCTATACAAGCAACTGTGAGAAGGTACGCCCAGTGCCAAACTTGTGAAAGGCATTGTGTCCACGTACATAGAAGAGAAGGTACCCAGGAAATTTTCAATTAAGTAAGACAGGACAAACCTGGTCCGCAACAACTTCAACAAGTTCCAACTCATGCTCTCGCCATTGTCTACCACAGTTTGTAGGGAGAATCAGAACCATCACTGCGTAGCTTTTCACCGAAAGGTCAGGCCAATCATTAATCTGAAAATTTGATAGGTGCAAGAGAGGTACTCGAACTGCGACAACTTCTGGTGGCATATTTCTGCCCACAAGAGGTCTGATCCTAGCCAGAGGACATGTATAGGGAATACGCATCGCTCGTCCACTACTGAAAACTTCATTGACTGTGGGAAGGTTTATCGGAATGGTAAATTCAACCGATAGCTGATGGTGTAGAGTATGGGAGAGCTGCAAGGTCGTGCCCATTCGTGATGGCATCCACAAGGCACATTCCTCAAGCCTTAATGTCCTCCCCAATTCTACAAGAGTTGTTTTCAGTATAGTATGGCGGTCAAGAGTACTTCTAATCTCATGAGTTAGCATCCTAACGTGCCGTCCAGTTTCTTCTTGTGTAAGAATGAGGCCCATTTCTCTGTCGAGCTCTTCAGCTTTACTCTTCAAACGCAATTCCCTAGTTTTTACGCTCAGCAAGTCAGGAATTATGTGGACAAGCATCAAAGCTGTTGCACATGACACAATGGCACAAGAAACTTTCGCAATTGCCATCACCATAGCAACAGCTTTTGAATGGATATTCATTGTCCACAGATTTATAAAGTGAGTCGCCCCACAAAGAACAATGAACGCACCAAACTGCATCAGCACCCATCTATATGGGAAGAACGCAGATTTTTGCACAAAGTATATGAGCTCGAGGGGAATCGAAAAATATGCCAAAGCAATCAAGAAGTCCGATATGTACTGATACTTCACAAGTAGTTCTCCAGGAGGCCATTGGGTGTCGATGCAATCGCAGGCCTCCATCATATAGTAAACCCCTCTCTAAACCTGAGTATTCAAGAAAAAAACAATTAACATCACCACCCACTATGACCTACAAAAAAGCATACAAAACTTTGGTGTACGTGCAAAGCTCCTATCAATTGCTTGAACTGCTGCTTTCTGTGCCCTCAAAAATGGATCTGGTTTAAATTCTGTTGTGGGTTATGAACAACCAACAACTTCTATCACAAACTCGGAATGGTTGAGGCAGAGACTGAGCACATCCGACGACGAAATCGGTCAATGTGTCGCATTATCAAGATGATGCTTGATTGGGCAAGGAAAAGCTAATGATCCAATATGGTGAACTCTGCTTAAGTTCAGCTAGATTGAAAAATAAACAAATTAATGGACCTTCCAAGTGATTCCATCGTTGTCAGTGCGTGCGCGTGTGAGAGGGAGGGAGGGGGATAGAGAGAGAGAGAGAGAGAGAAAGCTTTGATGTCTGAAGATAATTATACAGAAAGTTTTCCAATAGAAAAGGCAAGCACATGATCCAGACCAAAGGGACAGGCATCATACTACACCCACTGATCAACCAAATATAACAGCTAAAAACTCTATCCCCAGTATCCCACATCCGTAAAATGCCAAACAAATTCTTTGAGACAGAGAGAGACCAAGCAGATGGGAATTGGCCTCTGCCTCTTCTCCTTTTTCTTCGGCGCAAATGAAGCACTCTAGTTACCCCAAAAAGGATTATTCTTAGCATGGTCTTGCTCGTACCGAAGACTTCGAATTGAACTTAACAACGAGGAAAGGAAAACATGCAAGAAAATCAACAGACAAGAAAGAAAAAAGGAAAGAAAGAAAGCAACGAGAAATGGGTACCGGACAAGAAGGAGAGGAAGTGATATCAGCTGCCGAATCTGTAATTCCCCATGAAGATAGAGAGAGAGAGAGAGAGAGAGAGAGAAGGCAGAGAACTGAAGGGGGAGAGGAGGGAACGGGAACTGAGTAAAGCCACGGCGTCACGGACAAGGTGGCACTTCTTCTTCTTTTCTAACTTCTTGTTTTGTTTGGCAGACATGTTTCGGAGGGAAAGAATTTTGGAGAGAGACCAGTGTCGTTTATTTTGGCTTCCAAGAAAAGGTCAAAAGCAATCCTTTTCATTTTTCATCAAAATTCAAAATTTTATCCACATTTTCGAAATTATTGGGAGAATTACCTGCCAATTTTAGGGTGTCGAATACACATTTTAAAGGTTTTCGAGCATTTTCCTGCGAAAAAATCAAAACACATGCGCCGCGAAATGCAGACTCCGTTCATAAAATAAGCGTAATCGCATGAAACTTCAACTCAAAATCTTAAATTAATAAGTGAGAGGAGACCATATGTTTATAAAGAGTTTATACACTTTGTAGATCGGTGACGTGCAATCTTCAAAAATAATTAAGCTCTTTAGCATGCGATGTATTTTGGTGTCAGGTCAAATGGCCCCACCCATATGATGATTGTAAGGACATTTTAGGGTCATCAAGGGTCCCACTCTCCTCCCAAATTAGGTGATGGGGGATTAATTAAAAAAAAATGAAGGCGTGCCTAAGGTCGTGTTTCCGTAGCAAGCTGATTAAAATATTCACATGGATACTATTGTTTATTAATCCCTAATTTACTAATTGAATATTCAGACGGTCGTCCAAGTAAAAAGCCTATCTTGAGGTTTTTCCCTCTTCTTCTTAGGTGGTGCGGAATGCAGTAGTGACTAAAAAAAAAACAGCTATGCTTTTTTTTGAAAAAATCCGCGTTGAAATGGAAAGCAAGAATCGCACGCGGTTGTGTGATCTCGTGAGTAAGTGACATCTGCAATGCTTGGATCTTCAACTGGGGCCTTTCAATGGAATATTCATACGCACGGATGGATAGTTGCCCTTATCCTCTGTCCGAGATCATATTTGTGCAAATGGTACTTTTGAAAATCTTCGGATGAAGCGATGGATAGCCCATTTTTTACCTGGATTGGAAAAGATGAACCCTAATTAAAAAAAAAAAAAAAATTTCTAGACCGAGAGATACTTAATTAGTAGGGTTAATACTACGAAAAACCCCAAACCGGTATACATGTGACAGATTTATTCCAAATTAATTTTTGACTACTAAAAATTTCAAATTTATGACAAATTTACCCTCCGTTAGTTTCTGATACATTTTACCGTTAAATTGCTTAGTTGAAGGATACGTGGTAGTTAACGGAGGTACCAGTTTGAGGTTTTACCCTCCGTTTGTTACAGGTGTACTGGTTTGTAGTTTTTCGTGATAACTAACAGAGGATAAATTCGTCGCAAGTATATCAGTTTGAGATTTTTTATGATAAAAAATTAATTTAAAATAAATTTATTATAAATGTGTCCGTTTGAGATTTTTCGTGATATTAATTTTAATTCGTGATAATCGCTTTGTCCGGGCGATGCAATTCGTTAATCAATGATTTTGTCGGCGAATGAAAACGGCGACCGATACGTCCCTCTCCTGAGTGACTTTGCGCTGTGATGGAACAGAAGGACAAAGTACGACGCAACTCGGCACTAATCAAGGCCGGCGGAACAGAAGAAGGCCCCCACCTCCTCTCAGGTTCAAAGAATGTGGTCCGGTGCAGCGCACGAGAAAGATGAAAGTTCATGGAATGTGGTCCGAATCCTAGAAAGAGGAGATCAACTTGCCGATGCCAAAACTAGCCCCGAAGCGAAAGCATAATTGGATCGAGGTCCTCGCCATTCATGGCAAGTGGTCACACCCCACCGTGGCCGTCGCGAATTCACGCGACACGTGTTCGAGGTTTCTTATGCGTCGGAATAGTCCTCGCTGAGTGTTGCGATCCTCTCGTTCCATCTGGTTCGCCCCGATCATTTACGAAAACGGTTTGGTCCCCGTGCGGCTTTAGAGCGATCTCGACGGAATGAAGTACTTCGATTAGTATGTGTCGTGATTGATTAGTTCGGGGATATGTTCAGGGTTTAATTCGATCCGATCTATGGTGAAATAGGGAAACATGTCGAAAGCTCCGTTTTGAAATATTGCTAAATGGTATGTTAATCAAATCAAAGACAAAGATGCCATCAAACCAAAACAAAAAGCCAAGAGCGCGCACGATAACCATTCTATTTCTTTGTTTTTCTATTTTTCTGTTTCAGGGAACATGTTTGGAACAGAAATCCATTTTGCAACGCAATTTCATTTTTCTATTTCTGAAATAAATTTCTACTCCAAAAATAAGTTTTGAACATAAATCAGAAGTAAAAATTTTCTAATTTTCTATTTTTGTAACGGAAATGAGAAATAACTCTTCTCATCGCTCGCCCTCGCTACTAGCCGGCCGCGTACCCACTGCTCGCTATTGCCGCCGCTCGCCTCCCGCTTCCACTGGCTGTCCTCCATTGCCCACTGGCCGTCGTCCGTCGCCATCCTTCGCCACCTCCCGCCGCCACCCGTGGCCCAACGCCGATCGCCTCCCGCTGTCGGCCACCTCTCGCCGTCCTCCGCCGCCTACTGCCCGATGCTGGCCACCTCCCACCGCCCGTTCGAGAGGGAGAAATTTTGTGTCAAATTTCTATTTCAGAAACATAAATTTTGTGTCATTATTAAACGTGTATATTGGCTCAGAAACTCATCTATGGAATAGAATATAGAATAGTTAGCATTCACGTCCTAAATACCCGATGTGGGTGTTGCAAGTTGGTTACACCTACAATCGAAATACAGACCGAGCGTTTCATGGTTCAAAAATGCCGAATCTTGTCTCAATTCCCTCGATCTATCAATGAACTATCTCTTCAGGAATTGCGAAAAATGTTTCGCTCGAGACATTCTTGTTATTGCTTCGACTCCTATTCCCCAAAAAGTGGATCCCGTCCCAAATTTTGTTCAATCTCTCGAGTCCCGAAGAAATCCCCCTTTCCTTCGGATTTGATATCTCTTTGGATCTACCGTTTTAAATACTCGCACACCCGCGCAACCCCAACGTGGGAGTGAGTTCGGTCACCAATTCCACAAGCGCATGCATGCGGTGAGTAAATGGCAATGTCCCCGACTTTGTATTGCATGCTATAAGATGAGAAAGTAAAGTTACACCGACGCAACAAAAGATCGAAGAAACTCAAATCACTTTGTTCTTTGGGCAAGCATAAACTCGAGATGCATCGATAACGAACTTCCACGGCGTACCTCGACTTCACCGATCAAATCCCAAAAATACATAGACATACGAAGAATTAACCATGTGGAAAATTACAAAACAATCCTAAACCTATTTCTACGGATGCCAATTCATTCCTAATTTTCTTTAATTCCAAAAAGGCTGTATTGAGATTTCGCACGAAAGTTTAAAATTAAACTGTCAAAACTAAAAAGTTTAGTAATAAATGACATCCGTACAATATGTTAAGGACTTATTACATATTATGGAGCGTACCATAATAATTATTATTTTTCTTGCTTTTTGTTTTGCCGCGGAAGGAATCGATTTAGCACATGATGCTCTACCTCACTCTTTCACTCTCCTATTGTCAAATTATTATATTTCACAGGTTATTTATTTATTTTTAAAAGGACCACTGTTGTCCCGGTGCATTGCTCTCGAAGAGAATACGACGGTGGAGGAGGCAATGTGCTCCATCTTTTACTGGCGCGGATGGCGATTGGACATATGGGGCTTTACTTGCGGTGTCAACTTATTGATTTGTTTTTGGCTAGTGCCACTTTGTTACTTACCTAATAAACAAGTTTATTGGCCACAGTCTTTTGTTATATATGTTAGTCTTCTGTGGAAGCATAATCTTCTATTTAGCCCGTGCGATTTGAGGATTTCAAAGTCGAAACATAAGCAAATTCCGACCGGAAATGATCTTTCGAGAAAATTTGATCCTACTCGCGATTAAGCATTGATATAGTAGGATCGACCGTTGTTATGTCTCTCATTGCCTCGACTTTGATTAGCCGCGCGAAGTACGGGTACGAGGCCGATCTATCTTTCTATATTTATCTCCATTGCCATCGTGTTGTCAGACCGACGCTTGGAGCGCTTGCATTTTTTATTTTTTTAATCCAAAACATGTTAAATTTATGATATATAACTTATATATTCATCAGTTTGATGCAAGCAAGCAACAATGCTGAGCTGCACGATATTTAGTTTTTTTTCTTTTTGTCAAGTCCTAACGATTAGATGTTAGATTAGGTTATATAAGTTTCACTTGTCTTTCAGTATATTCGTTGTGGTTTGTGAAAAGCCCAATTGTCTCATTTTGATATGGGCATTTTCATTCTTGAATCAACATTGTCAAATTGTGGGTGGAAGCTTGAATAGCTGGGACCAAACCACAAAAGAAGGAAACCCGTCTTGGACCAACCTGACCCGACTTGAACCATGTTTTCGGCTCGGGTTATCTGCATTTCAAATCGGGTTTGGGTCAGTGAAAACACACATTCGTTTATGGTTCAGTTCAGGGTTGGGTAGCATGAAAACCCAACCCAAACCTAACCGTTGACGCTTCTATATATAAGTACTTGCGTGAAGATTCGCAAATACTTTTTTAAAAAGAAAGTACATGTAAGCAAGATTATTTCTAGAATTTCAGGAAGAGTAGCTCCCGGTCGGGCCTAAATTTGACCCAAACTGAGGCCCGATCCATTCCTTAAGAAGAGTAATTAGCACGTTCAATCTTAGACTGAGATCTAACTTTGGGCTAGCCCGGCCCAATGGAGAATCTGACTTCATATGTTGTTGGCCCAATTAGGGTTTTTTTTAACTTCTACATTTTCCTTTTTTCCTCTTTTTTTTTTTTTTCCAATATAGGAATTTGAACTCGACTTCACGCAATTTCTTGAACTATTGTCATCACCGGTTGGCTACATTTCCATTAGATTGTGTTAAAGTTTCATCGTGATCATCTACGTGGTGAGATGTTATTAGAGCATCGACGCGGTTTCGAACAATTGTAAACAACTATTTAACATGTTCCGATTGAAATAGATTCACTTGATTACAAATCGTGAACTTTATAGATCCCATTGACTTTAGGCGTTTTCTAGAATGCAAGTTTCCTATTTTAGCACTCGTGACAGAGATTGAAATAGGAGTTTCCAAAAACGACATAAATTTCATTTGGATGCACATCAAGCCTTTGTATTGCTGGATAAGAGATTCGTAGTTAAATTGAAAATTTCAATCTTTTAAATGTCTGACTATATCCAAATGCACTGCGAAATTGTTATCATAATTACCTAGATCTCAATACATTACTTGCATGTGCAACTCATTTTCTCATGGAAACTTATTAAGTTCCAAAGTGCTGCATAATGAAATGATCGGGATCTTTATGATGAAATAACCATCTAATGATGTGGTGTTCTTGTTGAAATTTTAGTGTCGGTATGCAAGAGCATAATTTAGGAAGGGAAATTCGAATAATTATATTCAATTACCGTTATATAAATATACCGAAGGAGAATATGATATATTATCGGTAAGCGATGATTGACATTTATGTTACGAAACCGATGAGAGAAAATGTAGAGACAAAATTGGTACCAGTTAATCAAATTAAAATAATCTTTGAATTTAGCACTGCCACCCCTCAATTGATCAAATCAACCCCATCGCAACCGATTGATCTAGGTCGCCACTAGCAATTGGATTCGGGTCCTCAACAATTGGACCCAATCACTAGCAATCGATTTGGGTCGCTAACGACACACGATCCTAGTTCCAAGGATCGGATTTAGATAGGCCCTGTCGAAAGCACACCATGATCTGTATCATCTATAAACTTGAGAACTCTTTCGACAACAATTTTGTATAGACAAATTAACTTCCGCCGAAGACAAGCAATTATCTTACACAAGGCAATATTTTTAGACCCTTCTTTCTAATTGATTAAGTCACAATCGTGGATAGACAAGCAAAATTATCTTACCAACAAGGCAATAATTTTGGCTCTCACAAATACGACCCATTCTTTCTAATTGATAAGTCACAAGTCGTGGATATCACCGCACAAAATTAAACAAAGACAGAATGCGAACGACATCTATGGCTGCATCCCACCAATCAAAATAAATTTGGTGATCGGAGAAAAATACAACCCATCTTATATTTAGGGATTAGGTGTGAGGCCGATCTTTTTATCTAGGAAAGTTGTCGACTTAAAAAGAAGAAAAGGGATCGGTTTGCTTTCCCGATGGAGTGGAGGGGGGGAAAGGGGAAAGTTACTTTGCATCCTAGGATCGTTTCTTTCACCGAAATCATTCTCTCGCGAAGAGCTTTTCTCATCGAAACTTACAAGAAGGGGTTTCCCAATGGGCTACCTTCCCCAAGAAACAAACCACCCCGATGCTGAACAAATGACAGCCATCCTTGACCACTGTGCACTGCTCCACCGGGCATTTTGACCAAATAAGGGATGATGTAGCCAAACGTCACCAACTCATCAAATGTGGTAGATTTGAATGGCCCGGATGGCCACGGGGAGTAATCAAGAATCACACAGACCAAGATCTCCTCGATGCCAATTCGAGAAACACACGCGAGCATGACCGGGGGGTGTCGTTTTAAAAGAGGAATCGGGACACGAGTCAAAAGATCGCGTGGGCCCATTTCTAAATGAGGGGGGCCAGGGTGGCAAATGTTTGCTTGCCGATTCAAACCCACCCGATCCGACTCCCACACGACTCATCGGCGACTGTCGTGTTCCCAAAGCCAATAGCGGGAAGCCACGAATTGCACATACCAAAAACACCTCACGAGTCGCACCACATTGGTACCGGCCGAAATTCGTTAAGTTTTAATTTCCTCGAATCCTCGCAAGAAATCGAAGCACAAAAGAGAGGAGGAAAGAGGATTAACACAAAATGAACAACGAAAGCAGCCAGCAAAGTTCTTCTCCTTCTTCTGCCGTCGTCTCTCTCTCCTCCAAATCCCGCACCAAAAGCCCCCCCTCGAAAACTCGTACGCCTTTCACCACTAGCACCACTAGCACAAGACACGCGGTCTTCTCTCTCCTCTCTATCTCTCTCTGACGCGCACGCTCTCGCTTTCTCTCTCCTCTCTCCCCCCCCCCCATCAAAATCGAAACTTTGCGAAGTTTGGGCAGTACCCTCTCTCTCTCTCTCTCTCTCTCTCTCTCTCTCGCTCGCTCGCTCGCGCTGCATCCCAAACCCCTAAACCCTCGCCCGCCCCCAATTTCCCTTCTCCCTAAACCCTAATTGCTTCGATCTCGACGCGCAAATCCACTCCCCGGTCGAGCTCGGTCATCGGCGGCCTCGTTCCGATTCGCGCGCCCGCGGCTGCCATAATGTCCAACTCCGGCCGTTTCGCGGTCACCCGGGTCCACCCGGACAACCGGTTCTACAACCCGCCGCCGGTCCGGCGCCACCAGCAGCAGCTCCTCCGCCAGAAGCAGCAGCAGCTCCTCCAGAAGCAGTCCCGGATCGAGTCGGCGGAGGCGGAGGCGGAGGCCCTGGCGCGCCCCGACTCCTCGGACGACTCGGCATTGTCGCGGCCGAACTCGGTCTGCTCGCCCTCGCCCCCCGGGACTGCGAATTCGACCAATTTGGATCGTCTCATGGAGTCCGTCACGCCCTCGGTCCGGGCTCACGACTCGCCCGAGGTATGGGAGCTTGGGGGGCATTTGTGGTAGTTGTGCCAATTTCGATCGTTGTAGGCACTTGTTGGAGATGTGCGCTGATTGTGGAGTTTATTGGCGTGTTCTGTTGGATTGCTGAGAAAATTAGAGAATGCCGCTTGTCCAGGGTGTTCTGATGACATGCTCTTATCTTTGTCGCGACGCTGAAATTTGATTTTACCGAAGTTGGGATTTGCTGTTTTTGTTACTCATCTTGTTTCCTTGGGTTGAGACAGTGAGAGTTTTCCGTACAATAACGAGGATAGCAGCTTCAATTTTGAAGCTTTCCTCATAGACCATATGCTGGGTTGAACAGAAGTTGTTATGATTCGCATTTGTTGTTTCAGAACTTAGTTTGAGTTCGGAATCTTGGATTTTTCATTCTTATCTTTTCCCTGATTGAATTGGACCATGCCTGATTTTCTTATGTTCTACATTTTTGCGAAGTTTATCTGGGAGTTGTCTTCCATGTCGACATACGAGTAACCTTAAATTTTTCCATTGCCTGTCGATATTCTTCATTCAAATGTGCACCATCCGGTATCCCTGTATACTTGTTTTTTGCAGTGTCTTGACTTTTATTGTGTGTTAATATTAAGGGCATTATTTGTCTTGTGGATTGATACTTTACAGTTGAGATCGAGGCGTTGGCGAACACGGGAAGCTGATCCACTCCCTTATTATTTACTTGGGGATTTATGGGAATCTTTTAAAGAGTGGAGCGTCTTTGGAGCTGGAGTGCCGCTACTGTTGACTGGGAGTGAGCCTGTGAAGCAGTATTATGTTCCATCATTGTCTGGTATTCAGTTGTACATTGATCCCCTCAGACTAAGGTAAGGTCATGTCTTCTGCTTGGTTTGTGTTAGATTGCCTGCATAAGGTTCTAATGATAGTGTTCATACTTTTTGCTTCACTTGGTGATGGTTTAACACGGTGAAATTAACGTCCATACATCTTTGCATAAATGCGTGCTTCTAATATGTTGCAAGTTAATGTTAATCGTTAAGGAACTTGCAGCTACTGCCACTGCCTCCACCCAACTTTAGCATCTTTGTTGCTTACACCAAAACTAGTGTCAGATCTAACATCAGTCTATCAGTTTTAAAACTTGATGTAAGCACCGGCCAAGTGTTTTCATGCTTGCTTGGTGAACTTGAAATTAAGTGGCACGCAAACAAGGGCAGTGGCTTGTGCGATGAACCAAAGAATTTGATTTTAGTGCCCAGTAGAGTACTGAGACTTGTACCTGCCTTACTTTAGTTTTCATCGTTTTATTGCATATCAGTTATTTTTGCTCAGCAATTGTCCGGAAAGAAAGACATTATACTATATGAATTAAGTTACCAAGTTTTGTCTCTTCTTGGTCACTTCCACAGTGGAGCATCTTTTTAAGCTTCACAAAAAATGTTACATGCTTTTGTCTGGATAGGTGTTTTAATATTATCAACTAAAAATCCAGTCTTTCAACAAGTTCTTCTTTTTAACTGAGTCCTTGGGAAAAAGGTGATAACTACAAAAATTGATGAATGTCATGGTCCTTTCAAATGTAATTGGTACAAAAGATGGCATCTTGAAGCTCTTCTACCATGTGTCTGTTGGGAAATAAACGGTGTCACTACAGTTATGGAAGAGTTATCACTTCTTAAGCCATCTGGTTTTCTTTTTGGCTAAAGAAACATGACTCTTGTACCTTAGTTGTAACTTACGTTGGCAACAGGAATTTCATGCCAATCTGACTTGTCTGCCTTCATGGTCCTGCTATTTTTATTACTTGCATGCGGGCAAGTTTTTTTTCCATGTTTTCATTGGTAGTTTCTACAATTATTTTTTTATGTGCTTCTCTTTTCATGGTTTATAGCAATTTTTCTTGCACGTGTTCTTTCGTTTCATGCATCCATGCTTATAAAGCTAGATCATTAAATTGCAGAAGGGATCTTTGGAGCTAACTCCTAAGCTCCATTTCATGGTTTATACATGCTGGAGCTCCTTTTATCTGGTTCTTGCAAACTGAAAAGTTTGTACATATAATGACTTCAATTTCTAGCTGTTGGAATCTTAGGAGTAGTAGTGATTGCTATATGTTATCATATGCCCACATAGATGGATTTTTGCTCTTTTTTTGAAGCATGTCCGGTGTACCTGACTCTTGCACCTTAGGCTCTTCCAAGAGTTAGATATATGTAAGTCCTGCCACTGAGCCCCAATTGAAGATGGAACATTTCTTTACTTAAACTTCAGGTCAATTTTAAGTGCTTAAGCTGCATCAGGCTTGCCTGCTATATCTTGCTATATCTTTCAGCAATATAACGATTTCTGATTGATACAAAAAGCAATCTAACACCAGTAAACGCAAAAACATGTCGGGTGTACGTAACAATTTAATTGAAACTTTATAATGATGGTGCATTATGCTTATGCAGATAGATTAAACCATTGTAAGGGGGAATCTGTTCAAAAAGCTGGTTATCATCTCCCTTAGTTTTTGGGTGGAAGGGGAATAATCCTGTGCCCACTGGCGTAAAGAGTTTTCAATGACCTAGCATGGAGTTCTCGATTGATTGATGCCTCATTAGGCAGGGCAGACATTGCTTTCTAGTGTGTTATCTGGTGATATAAGTTTGTCGTTTGTTTTGTTGGGCATGGTTCGGCTAAGATGGTGTAGCTACCACTTTTTGGGTTTGGTGGCGATTGATTCTTTTTGGTTTTCACTGTATGGTCACTTTTCTTGGAAGATGATTGCAAAACTTGGCTTTATACCCCTCTTGAATCTGAAGGGACAATATGTTTAAGTTCTTTTCATGTTCATCAAGGACTAAGAAGTATGATGGCATTGTATAGATGCCTGCATCATAAAGCTGGAGCATTTGGTAAGTTGTGGTTTTTCTGGCTCACATACTAGTGTGCTCCTTTTAGGGGTGTCCAGAAAACCTGATGGACCCCAAAATAATGAACCAAAATTCTCACACCAAGCTGAAAAATTCCGGATCAGTTTTTGGGCAGGTCATTGGATCCGTTCGGCCTACGAAAATAAAAAATCAGTTGACACTGCCCAATAGGCCCGTTAAATTCAAAAGGACCTGCATCCCATGTCCAGTGTTCAAGTCTTCTGTTTCTTGACACATGCTTCCCCCCTTCAAGCTTTAGTCTAGTGAAACAAAAACTTTTGAAGCAAGATTGAAAAGCTACCCACAGTCTGCCCATTTCATCTTCGCCACCTCACTGGGCATGCTGTGCCTCACATTTTCAGCACGGTTTGCTTCGGCATTTTCTTTGTGGCTGAATTGTTTTATTTGATTTTTTTAGCAGATGGATGCAACTACTGTACTAAATGGTGCTCACATAGAAAAGAATGAAATAAGGAAGTGGAAGATTTAACATTAGGGTAACACGGAAGAGTTGGTGGCATAGATATTGAAGAAGTTTCTTTTCATAACTAGCAATTTTGCACATAGAAAAACGCAAAAACTGATTGCTTAATTTCCTGTTTTCTTATACTTGATGTTGGGAAGGAGAACTTCTAGTCATAATTTATATGAGATGCTTTATAGTCAGGCACATGTCTTTGTGTCTTATCTGAACTGAATAATTTCCAACCCTATTAATGATGGACATTAGGTATTGGAACATTCTTAGAGGCCCTAATTTTCTCTTTGCGATTCTAGCAGAGAAACTTATGAAGGCTGAGTACAGAGTCAGTCTCTTCCAAATTATCCTTAATACCCGACTTCCATTAAGCTCCTCCCTGTATACTTGCCTCTTGCCGTCCTTATGGTTGTCCTAGCTTAACCTTCAGGTTTCCTAGCAATCGAGACATCAAAATTCATGTTTGAACTAGAAATTCCTTTTCTTCATTGGAGTGTAAAATTCCTGCTGTTTAAAATGACTGAATGAGTTGGCATTGCTGCTCCTTTTTAAACAGATTGGAGCAAATCAATGCTGGGTATATATTGATACTTGACTTCCAAATGAACACGTTGCCTCTGGAAGTAATTGATGAAAATTATCCCTGCCTCGCTAAAACATTCCCTAATGAGCTTTCTTTTGCCATTTGCTTAACTGCTTGCAGACTGTTTTTGTTGGTAGGCTGTAGTTCCCTTTGTCATGCGACAAAAGCATGTTTTTTATTTTATTTTTCTTGGGGTGGCCAAGATGTGAAAAACAAGTTTGATATTGCTTTTGTTACAGTAATAAATATGTCCAAATATATGTCGTTTACATAAGCAGAATTTTCCTTTTCAGTAGTTATTAATGTATTGTTAGTAACAATGTAGATGAGCTCATCCTTTCGTAGTTCAAATGCATTGTTTGCAAATCGCCACGTATTCGCATGATATTAGTGCAAGTCTCTGGGGGAACTGTGGTGTATTTTTTGCAGATATGTCCTTTAGATATCCACTGGGCCGGGTTTCATGACTTGGCCACGTCAATTACTTTGATGTACAAAATGGTCGAAAAGGGTTAGATATGTGGAGGCTTATTCTATGGGAAATCTCATTAAGAATTTTCCCTTCTGTTGCCATTCTTTCCTATGCTGCATATTCATTTAGTGGTGTTTTTGTATGTACAGGAGAACAGGTGAAGACAGTGATGCCGAGACATCGAGAGAGACAAGTAGTGCCGGCAGCAGTGACTGTGAAGTGGAAAGAAGAGGGAAAGGTATTGTTGATGCATCATGGAATCAACACAATCTTATTAATTCAAACTCGCAGAAGATGAATAGACTGACATTAAGAGAGAAGCCTCTCGTGAGTTCATCAAGTGATGAAGCGGAGGTTGGCAATTCCTCTGGGACGCTAATATTTGAGTATTTGGAGCAAGAGCAGCCTCATCATCGCAAACCTTTTTATGACAAGGCAAGTTTGGATACCATTGGATGAGCTAATTTCATGGCATTACCTTGCCTCACTTAATTTCATCCCTGTTCCTCAGGTTTCAATTCTCACATCTCAGTTTCCTGACCTAAAAAGATACAGAAGCTGCGATATATTGCCTTCAAGTTGGATTTGTGTCGCATGGTAATATACTGTTACTACTGCAATATGAAACATTGAATATTGCTATCTTGCTTGATTCTTTCACCGCTTGCATTTATGATGGATTGGGTCTTGGGAACAGGTATCCAATATATAGAATACCCGTAGGCCCCACTCTGCAGAATTTTGATGCATCCTTCCTATCGTTTCATCCTTTGTCGACGCACTCAAAAAGTATCTCTCTCTCTCTCTCGCTCTCTCTCTCTCTCTCATGCATGCACATTTTTTCTCTAATCTGCTGTATTTAAATGCATGTCTTCCAACACAGGCAAATTCAAGCCACAACTTCATATTTCGAGTGGCAGAAGGGCCCGTGGCGTTAGTGCATCCTCTAAGTTTTCTCTTCCTGTTTTCGGTCTTGCTTCCTATAAACTAGGAGGCTCAATTTTAACTCCTAATGGACCACATGAATCCCAGCAGGCCAACTCTCTCTTGCAAGCTGCTGATGATTGGCTCCGGCAGCTGCAAGTTTCTCTTCCCGATTACCAGTTCTTTGTCTCCCACAACACACAGTGGAGATAACAGAAGGATGACAATCCCTTCCCTAAAGTGCTTTGCTCTATAGGCATATGATTTTAAGGTGTCAATTTTGATATGGTATATGAGATAGAAAGAATGTGTTTTAGAGTAAAAGGCATCTGTTTTCCGCTATTCCCCGCTAAACAGATTGTTTTATGTGCCTCCATAACTTTGTAATTATGTGCATCTCCCCCTGGAAATTTAGTAGTCTAGAGGGGGAGAGGGAAAAAATGCTTTATTGATCCAGGTTCAGCTTAGAGTAGCTCTGACTTTTGAGTTTCATGAAAGAATTGCAGTCAGTTGGGAATATTGGAAGCAAAAGTATTACTTCGTGTATGTAAAGTTGATACGTGCAAGTTGCATAGATTTCTACATGATCAACCATTGGTTTTCTATATGATAATCAATTGTTTTCAACCTGCTACAGTACAATCATGTTGCTTGCCTTGTTATGAGCAAACTCCAGCATTTTCGTTCAGTATGTCTATTGAAGCCTTTTTTCGGCCAAAGAGTTGGTTCAGATTGTTCCTATTTGCTTGAACCAATTGATTTCATGTTTCTTTTCCAGTTGAATTCCATAATTACTTCCAAATTTAATGCGTATCCGAAGGCTTAGGATCTATATAAAGAGGGCGTTTAATTGCGGTCTATTTTAATCATTATGTGTAGTCAAGGTCCATCCGAAGGCTATTCATTCCTCTGATCTAATTGCTCCTATGCAGGAAAGAATGTAATTCCAAGGTAAACGGGTGAAAGGGTCAGGCCAACGTTTGGTTGGAGAAGGAATTCAGTGGTTTAAAAAGTATCACGTCAGCCGCTGACGTGGTTTTTAGCATTCTGATTCAATTACAAATTAACATACATATACATAAATGTATATTTATTGACGTGGAGTCCGATAAAAAATCTGTCCAAATCTTCCTCCTCTTCCATCTGCAGCCGCCTCCTAGCAAGGACCACTAACCTCGGCGCCTCCTCTTGTCATTGCCCTGTCGCCATCGGTGGAGACGTCGGTGCCACATTTAGACCAGCCATCGGCGGAGACGTCGGTGCCACATTTAGACCAACACTGCTGCGCATCCAAGCCGAGCCACCCCTCCGTCATCCTTGCTCGTCCATGGCCAGTGCCTCCAGACTTCCAGATCTGGTCGAGCTTCTAGATCTGGAGCCTTGGCCATGAGTAGCGAAGGCTCGTTCTCACGCGACGCTGAGGGGGTGGACGTGGAGGCTAGCCACTGCTCTGCGTTAATCTAGCTCAACCACTGCCGTTTTTTTTTTTTTTTAACCTTTTTCTTTAAAGCTCACGGTCCATGGTCGTCAGGACCTCGAGCCACCATCCTCCAGATCTGTATATGAGGGCATTGCTATGGCCAACCACCGCCACCGCCGTCTAGATCTAGTGGCCAACTGCCACCGCGCATATCTGCCTAAATCTTGAACAAAAATAATTGGTTTGATTCCCCATTGATGTTTTTCTTTTTTACTTAAATTCTAGGCGGTGTCAAGTTTTAAGTGGATGTCAATGGGTAAATACTGCACTATATCAGCAGCTGTTGCGGCGCTTTGAAATCACTGAATATTTTCTTATTTGGTTGTTTTTTTTAAACAGTACTGATAAAGTGACGAAAAGAAAAACAAAAGAATTGAAGTGCCCTTGGCTACAACACCGAATTTTCTCCAAGATGGGTTTGAATGGACCCAATTCAGAAAACAGTCTTCAGCATGACTCCAGTTCTAATTTGACCTTGTCAAGAGTAAAATCGGATGGCATGTCCACTTCCTCCAAAAACCCAGAAAAGAAAAATAAAGAACAGAGGTTCTTCTTTAGTGAGAGAACCTATCCAGTTTGGTTAGTCTCTGGTGTTAGTTATGACTATGCTTTCATACGTTACGTATTTTCTTTATGCTTTCATAAAGATTAGTTGAAGCTGAATGTTCCGCTTGTTACGTGACTATGCAAGGCATGTAGCGTGACATTGCAAGAAATGTCGCCTGCAAGAACGAGTCAGCTGACAGACTTTTACTTCTTTGGCTGACAGACGTGGATGGATGCTGAGATCCTCAGAGCCAAGTCAAACAAGAGGAAGATCGAATCCCAAACAAGTTCGAAATTAGTTGTCGGCTTCATACAAGGCTTTGTTGAGCTTACAAAACCTGAATCAATCAAATGATCTTTTAGGGGGTCAAGAAACGATCCACGAACAAATCAATTCAATTAGGGAAAAGAAACCACATGGGACATCTCTCATCAAAGAGGAAAGTACAAGCAGAATCAAAAGGGCGTGATCACTGACAGAACGAGAGAACTAGCAAGGTCACCAGGCTAAAAACAACAGCAGTTATTCTGGCACTTGCACTCATCTTGTGACCACTGGAGGGAAGTATTCTTGGGATTGCACATTCCTCCCCGTTGAACAACACTCTTGTCGGGAATCCATCCCCGCTGACCAGATTCACGCCCGGCGTCTTCTTCTTCGAGAACAGGATCACCGACTGCTGCGAGCCGGGGACCGGCGGATCCTTTTTGGGGTTTGACCCGTTCTTCTCTGCGAGGAGATAATTGAAATTTTGGCGGCCTTTTAGAAATATGCTGTTGTTGTAGTCACCCAAAAGTGTCCCGTTGAATGAGTAGGCCTCTTCAAACCCGGCCCCTGACTTGTCAAGCTCCACAGCCACGGACCAGTCGGCGAAGTTCTCCTCACCCCAGTTGAAGACGCTGATCCTTGCCGTCCACCCGTTCCGGTAATCTGACAACAAGTGCCAGTTGATACTGACCCCGCAATTGTCCCCACATGGCAAAGGGTCGGGCTTCAACCACCGGTTCATCTCACTCCACGCCAGGGCTTGCTTGGTCCGGTTCTCGAACGGGATGAGGAGCGTTTCAGGCCGCAGGAGGAGCGCCGGTGCCGTGGCGCTGCAAGTGTTGCTAGGGACATTGTTGCATCCACAAGCACAAGTGTTGCAAGGTACCGCTGAATCATTGTAAAAAGCAGAGAAGGACACACAACACTTAGGACTCTCTCTAGGCCTGGTGAGGTTGCACACCACTTGCCAGCTCGAGATCGCCACCGTCTCGGAGGCCAGCCCAGTGGGGTCTGGGAACTCGCTAGGGCTGACGGGGATCGGCTGCCGACATTGGTAGTTCGAGCTCATTGTGCCGTTGATTTGCCAGTTCACAGGTGGGGCCAATGTTGTCCTGTTCAGGTCCGGCGGCATCTTGTACACGTGCATTAGGAACGTCGATTTGGATTTGTCCGGGTCTGTCAATGCAGATAGGATCGTACCATTTCGACAGCAGAACGGAACCAACCCGAGATTGGTGTCATTCGCTCGAGAAGGTGGAAGGTCCATGATCGTGGGCCGCTTTTCGCAGTTCAATGCCAACGAGAAGTCGAGTTCCATGTAGTACTGGCCCTGCTTACCGAAGACACAATCCGTTGTATCGACCAAAGTTGGATAAGCCCCTCTCATGCCGAAAATGAACTCGTCCCTTGCCCAATCCCAGCTCAATTGCCAGTTATCGAGACGGCCGAGAGGATTGTGGTTCGAAATCGTGACCTGCGCCCAGTAATCGGTGCTTGAGGACTTGGTCACGTCATACATTATAATGAGATCGCCTTCCTGGCGCGGCAGGAAGCCATCGCCGACCGTCGAGTTGGAGGTCGATGTTAGATTTCTGATGCAGCAGAGGTTCATAGTAGTGTTACCTGGGAAAATCAGATGTCAGATGTTATCAGCATCTACAATGTATTAGGATTGTTTGCGATGCTTCAAAACAGAAACGGATAATGAATGTATTTCGGGGGAATCAAAACAGTAACGTCCTTGGGTACTAAACATACGAAAGATTGATGCAGAAAGTGATACCATTAATTTCATAACATGTCGTGCTTATCTATATCATCACTTTATAATTAGCGGGTCTATTTAGCATCAGCACGAAAAGGCCATCAAGCAAGAGCAAACAAAAACGAACGACCATGGGAAACTCAAATCTACCTTCCATGGTATAATTGGGACACGAATATCCATCGTTAGCAAGATAGAGGCTCGCCGGCAGAGGAACTCTCGGAGCCCCGATGCCGAACTCGGTACCGACCAACTGCACCTGAACTGTCGTCTGGGTCGGGTCACCCGCCGTCTCAACTGCCGTCTTCAGGTCGGTCATCGGAAAGCCGCCCAAAAAGGTCCCATTGATCCCCACTTTGGCCGGCAAGGAAGTGCCATCGGCTAAGATTGCTTGGTCAGCAGAGACCAATATCTCACCATGTTGAAATCCAACAAACACCTGTTTTATATGTTTAGTTTAGGCATTAATATAGGTAAAAACACAAACAAAGCAGAATCATTGAGAAACATCATAATTTCAATCAATACTTAGGGCGCGTTTGTTTGAGGGAAAGTGTTTTTCCGGAATTTGTTTTCCGAACTTTCACCCGTTTGGTTCGCCGAAAATGATAAGCCAACTGAAAACACTTTCCAGTGAAGGAAAACATTCATGTATAAAATTAGGAAAGTGAATTCCCTAATTTAAGAGGCGAAAACACTTTCCGGAATTATTCATCTTGAATTTGTTAATATTTTTCTTTTCTCTTCTTTCTTTTTTTTTAAAATTTTTCTTTTCTTTTTCCTTCTTTCTCCCTCCACCGGTCACTAGCCTTTCTTTTTCCAAAACAAAAATAATTTAAAAAATATAAAAATTTTCGATAATTTTCACCATCAGATTTTCCTCACCAAACAATTGAAAATACTTTTAAAGTATCTTTAAAGTTTTACCCAAACACCGGAAAACGAACTCATTTTCTTGGAAAATGACTTCCTGGAAAGTGTTTTCCAAAAATAGTACATTTTCCGTGAAACAAACGCACCCTAAATCATCATATTCAGTTCATGGAGGCGACACCCTTCACTTCCAATTTTGGTCGGGTGATGAATTTTTTCAATTTCTTCACAATAATTTCATGAATCAGCGAGTTTGCAACAAGATGATATCTATGCTAAAAGCTCAAAATTCATCAAACGATGCAAGGAAAATATCACTAGAAACGCATAAAATATAGGACGAAGACTGGTTATTCCAAGACGCTACTATGAATAGAGGTTGTCAAGATTAGGAAGTGAATCGAAGTTTAGTAATTTGAGTCGAGACTTCATAATCGCGGTGCTGACCTGCCACGACTGGAGCTCGTCGAGGCCGTTATTGACCACGGTCAAGGTGGATTGGAACCGGTACGGCTGGTTGGCGGTGTCGTTCGGGGGGATCGGGAAACCGCCGGTGTAGTTGTAGGACAGGAATATGCCGTTGCACCCGCTGGCGGCCGGGGGTCCTAGGTTCTGCGAGAACGAAGCGTCGAGCAAAGCGAGGAAGGCGACGGCGATGATGAAGTGACCGAAGGCCATTGGGCGTGACTTGGTGAAATGAAATGGGAATTTGGTGAGAGGCATAGTTTTCTTAAGGTGTGGAGGAAACAAAGATAGCGAGGTTAAAGAGGAAGTATTAGGTAAGGTATGATTAACATAATGAGAAAACAGTATGGCATGGATGGGGTCTTCGAGTTCGAAGTTGACGTGTGCCGGCTTGGAGTCGTCCTTGTTTTGTTGTGCGACGGAGCATCGTTGCGGTGCGGTGCATGCAAAGGGAATGAGTGCTGAGAAGGCTGAGGACGACTTGTTCTTTTCTGTTCTTTTTTTTTTAATGCTTCTTCTTTGTTTAACTCCAGATGGTAGGATTGATTCTTTGAGGGTTATGTTCCTCCGGAGTCAGTCAACAAGTTGACCAGTTCCTTGAACAGAGAGAGAGAGAGAGAGAGAGGTGGGAGAGAAATTGTTTTATATGGTAGTGCCATTTGGGGATAAGGGCGAAGGAAAGATTAAGAGGAACGAGTTAGTAAAGATTCGAACGAAATGGACATAGAAATTTTGTTTTCCCGTCACCTCGTCTCGTTAATTCTAATATATGACTGTATGCTAAAGACAACAGAAAAGTGAATAGATAGTCGTCCATGACAGTAATAATCCCGGATAGGCTAGAATCGAGTTTTTTTCGGGGTGAGGAAATTAGTATTTCGCGGATAAATAAAAATCCGATATTAAATGCAAAGGAAAGATGAGGTGCCCTAAAGAAAACATGATAGGATAAAGAGGGGTTTGGAAATACAAGAGATGCGGAGCTTGTGATGAGCCAGAGGAGACGAGACATTGGACTGGAATCCGTCGCTTGAAATTGGACTGGATGAAGCAAGATTAGTCCACAAGCCCATCCATCCATTCTTAACAATTGTGGGCCACTTAATGTTCTGCACCCGTTAATAAATAAATAAATAAAATCAGCCCGAGAGGTCCAAATGTTGGACCATCGGCACATCAGTCGAAATCCACGAAAGGAAAACAGAGCATAGCAAAAAGCCCGTCAATCTAAGTTTGCAGAGGACATCGTACCATGTTCCTTGGTCGACGTGTCGTCATCGATCGATCGATCGACCACGCGTATCCGTTATTCTGGACACGACCACGGTCATGAACTACTTGCCCGATCACGACACTAATACCGCAGCGTCGTCCACGCGTAAGCGCGATTCTATCGATCGGCGCGTGAGATACTTGCTGCACACTTGGAGAGAAGAAACTCGGGGTCGTTATACGGTTCTCGAGAGGCACCGTGCCCTTACAATATTTCATGTCGGATTGAGATGCAGCATATCTCAACCTGAACGGTTGCGATAATTCGCTTTTCGATCTAACGGTAAACGGTCACAGGGCCACGGTGTCTTTCGGGTTACTGCAGACTCGCCAAAGGAGCGGTGGTCCAAGGGAGGGATGATACGGAGGCGCGATCATGGGCTCCAACGGGAAAGCTCCTCCCTTTTCGGTTTGCGCCTTTCAATACCTCTATCCTCACGTGCTGAAAACACGACGGGCGACCATCGAATCGAGCGGAAACGGAGTTCCTGGACTGTTGCGACGGTGCTCTGGCCTCTCGATTGCTCCAGCGAATAGCATCTCCCCCGCCCAAACGTCTTTTCCCATTTAGCCAAGTCGATCATCGTGAAGGCCTCGCCAGCTAACGACGTTGCTGCTGGTTAGGGGTTGAATTAAAAGCACGTGTTTTACTTCCTCTCCTGAACTAGGAATGGTGTACCCACCCCACAAGTCCTCCCTTCCCCCCGGGAAAAAAAAGGATGCGGCGATCGTCGTAACTCCTCCTCCCGTAACTCTCGAACGCTTTGTAAAATGAAGCCCCCTCTTAAAAGACCCATCGGGCCCTCTTGCTCCCTCGAAATTTTGCTCGGGGCTCGTACGTACGACAAAACAGCATCGAAAACCAAACCAACCAGCCCCATCAAAAAAGCGCACGCGAGATAAAAAGAAGTCGTGTATTTCATCACGCATAAATAAGACAACCCTACATGTCAATTTTGAAAAAAACAAAAGTACATAAATGAAAGAGAAAATGACCCCCCCTCTCTCTCTCTCATCCCCCCAGTCTTTCATCGGTAAGCCCCCCACTCACCACTCAACGAGCAGCTCAACAGAACTCAAAAAACACAAAGGCTGGACAGAGCAAAACGAGGCCATTAGATTTGGCTCGGTCGGTGGAGACTAATTGCTAGCTTCCATGAGACCTCCCCAAACCCCAACCTCTTGTTTCCAGAACAGTCTGGCCAAGCACACAAATGATTGGTACCAAGAAAGAGGCTTGCTAATATATGTCTGTATTGTAATCCTAATGATAACAACAAAGCTGTCATTGTGAGATAAATCTTAATTTCCTGATTCCGAAGCCCCCTCCCAAAAAAAGCATAGGCAAAAACTGTGTAGGCCCACAGCGTCCGTTGCCTTGTCTTAGTCAATGATTATTGGACGCATCATACCAATGCATCCAGGCACCAAAAGAGAAAACCCAGATTGAAATGATCACCCGCCCCAACAGTGTCTCGCCAACAAGAACCCCGCGTGCACCCCTTGTGATCCAAGCATTAGCAAAGGTCAAAGCATGTATCTTTGAACTCCAATAAAGAAACGGTTTTCAAAAAGCCTGGAATTGGTTTCGTGAACAACCAGCGCTCTGGCCCTGACTGGCCACATGGTAATGCCTTTAACTCCATGATACTCCCGGGCAAGTTGCCACATGTGATATTAGCTGTTTGGGGGAGTGGAGAACATCAATCACACTCTCCCAGAGAAAAAAAAAATTATCAGAGATAAATAAATAAATCAATCATAAATGAGAGGAAAATAAAAAAGGAATCACATGAAGTCTCATGTACGTCTGATACGAAGTGACAAAGCCTCGCAAGATTTGCAACGAAACAGAGAATACCACGTGGCTAATAAGATTGCGAATGATAACCATTATGTTTCTCTGTTTTTCTATTTTTTTCGTTCTAGAAATAGGTTTAGAACAGAAATCCGTTTGGTAACGCAATTTCATTTTTCTATTTCTGGAACAAATTTTGATTTCAGAAATAAGTTTAGAATAGAAATTAGAAGTAAAAATTTTCTACTTTTCTATTTCTGGAACAAAACTGAAAAATAAAAAATTCTTCTCATTGCTCGTCCTTGCTACAAACCGGTTGCCCACCCGCCGCCCATCACCGCCTACTTGCCGGCCGTCGCCTCCCACCATTCACCGTCTCTTACCGCCGCCAGCCGTGGGCCGCCACCCGCCGTCCACTGGCCACCGTCCACCGGCCACCATCTCCTGCCGCCTGCCGTCCTCCTCCCGCCACCACTCGCCGTGGACCGCCATCCACTGACCAACGTCTCCTGCCATCGGCCACTCTCCTCCCGCCGCCACTCGCCATTCACCGTCTCCACGCCACCGGCCACCCTTCTCCGGCCGCGCCTCCTCCCGCCGGCCATTATGGGCCGCCACCCACCATCTCCCGCCCTCCTCCCGTCGCCTCCCGCTGCTCAACGCCGGCCGCCTCCAACCGTCGTCCGCCTCCTCCACTACCGTCTGCCACCGCCGTCTGCCCGCAGACCACCCGAGGGGGAGAAATTTTGTGCCTTTATCAAACAAATTTTTGTTTCGAGAACAGAAATTTTGTTTCGTTATCAAACGAGCATTGTTTGCTCATAAATTTTCCATGGGACAAAAATAGAAATCAATTTTTGAAACAAAATGGTTGTCATTCGTGTCCTAAGCTATTAATAATTGTCCCCATTTCGGAAATTTCCTTAAGAAAGAAGGAAAACAACAGCCGACAAATAGTATAATTCCCTACGCACAATTATTGACTAGACACCATATAAGCTTTAAATAATGGAGTTCTACTTCTGGGGGTAATAGAAAGCAACAACACAGAAAAATGCAATGAAATTGAACATATTAATTTATTAATATAATCATTATCGCTGTTATGTCATCAACAAACAGAAGCATCTCCCAAAGGTCACCCAAATGAGCAAAGTGTGAAAGGACAGACTGGGAGGTTGATCACAAGTATCCCGCCGCTGCCACCAAAGCAAAATCCCTCAGAGGTTACAGCCTTTCTTTAGATTCTTCCAATGCATTGAATTGAAACTACTAAGGCCGGCTTCACGCGCCCGCCTATTGAGACGAAACAAAAACTTGGGAAATCTGTGATGATTTATTGAGAGCCCAAGCAGAAACCATAGGCCAGATTGGCAGGTTGGACACGTATGAGTTCATCCCCATCCACTCACATAACAATCATCCCAGAGCCCCCAAGAAAATGTGTCCTTTTCCTTATCCACTCTATGCTCGAGTTCAGTGAACATCGTCCAATGACTCTCTAACAAGGAAACGACTCGAAACGCCTCATCAGCAAGATATTCGATCGCTCGAAAGCAACAGAAAACTTGTCTTCCAAGCCATGTTTACAGTTAAAGATGGGCTAAATTACGTAGCTTGAACTACAAAGTCAAAAGGAGCTTGCATACGATAAAGGAAAAGAGTAACATAGATACGAGATTGGGCATCACCACATCCCCCCCATAAACCCAAGTTAATCAACAGAAACAGCTTTCTCAAGGCAGATTTAAGAGTACTGCAAGAATTCCCAGCAGATGTGGAACCATGGAACACCTAACACAAGAGGTGTATCTCAGTCCCACGCCAGTGAAACAGAGCTCAGTTCTTTACAACCTCGGTGGGTCACTCGGGTTCTGTTAGCTAAGGCGTCAGATTGAACAAACAAAATGAATGGAGACTCTCTAGCCTTTGACCAAATAAACAGGTGCACAGAATTACAGAACGCGCAACATGAATATCTTTCTCGTCTTCGCTTTTATTTCCAGAACGGTAATGAGAGAATCGAATACAAGTGGCCAGAGAGATCCATTAACAACAATGTGAAGTCCAGGAAAGTCTAACTAAAAATTCTGTAGCCCCGAAAGCACAATTAAACATACACCAAAAAATTACCAACAAATGAAGGGGAGGAAACAACAAAGTAAAAGAACAAAAAATCGGAAAGAAAGAGAACCGCCGATCGCAACCGCATGATTAAGGACAAAACAAGGGACCTAACAGTAGCAGTAGCCCTTCGCATGGTGATTTCGATTTACCCGGTAATGTCAGGCCCCCGCCTACCAGGTGCACCGCTGTCGTGTGCTTCTGGGTCGCCCAGATTTTTCTCGATCAGGGCGAGTGCCCGTACAAGTCGTAGGGTGCCCAGAGCGAGTCCAACGGGCACGCCTGCCTCGAGTCGAGCCGGAGCCACGGCTTGCCGGAGCCGGACCAATGCAGGAGGCTGACCGGGCCGGGATGCAGGTCCCGACAGCTGCCCCTGACGTTGTCACCACCTAACCCGTGCTGGTTCCACCGGTGCTCGATCGGCGCCACGTGGCCAGCGAACACCAGGAGGAACGGCGGCAGCGAGCCGAGCTCATAGATGCGGTCCCGCTTCTGGATCTCCATCCACCGCTCGATCCTCCTCGTGTACCCCACGCGCCTCCACTTGGTCAGGTCTATCACCATCACCCCCGTGTTGAAGTAGCACGGCGTCCGGCCGGCGAACGCGCCGGCGAGGCGCGAGTTCGACCAGAAGCCCTCGGTGAAGTACTTGGTGAAGTTCGCGTGGCAGTACTCCGGCGCGCCGATCGTCCTCGAGCCGAGGCTGGTTGACCACAGCTTCGCGATGTCGTCCACAACGACCAAATCAGAATCCAAGTAAATCACCCTGCTGACGCAGGGCTCGAGCAGATCAGCCAAGTAATTCCTCGCGTAATTGAGAGGCTGCTCGAGCGCTTGCCTCACCGAGGTCGAGATCAAGTCTCGCACGATCTCCGGATCGAAGTAATACACTTTGAACTTCAACTGAGGGAAGGTGGACCGCACTAGGGTTTCGAGGCTGGTCTCCGACACCAGGAAGTGGAAGAAAATGCTCTCCGGACACTTGGAGTGCTGCAGAATCGAATGCACGGCCGCGATTGACCCGCGCAGGTACTCCAGATCGAGAGTAATCGCGACGTGGACCAGGTTAGGATCGCAGACGCTGGTTCCACCCAACACCGAGCCGTCGGCGGGGCTGCATTCATCGGCATTGCGGAATGCGGAGGCTCTCCGGAACGAGAACCGCTCGGGCGAGCCGGGGGCGGCGCCGCCGTCCGCCGGGAACTGGAGGCCGCCGTCGATGCGGGAGGAGCGGGTGGCGACGGCGGGCGGGAACGACTGGAAGGAAGGGGAGAGGACGACCATGACCATCGCGGCGGAGAAGAAGCCGGAGAACCGCAGAATCCACATCATCTTGGCGGTGAAAATCCCCCGCCGCTTCCTCTTCTTCGACTTGAAATCGAACCGATCGGCCAGAATCGACGACAGGGACGAGCGCAGGAAGGATAGGGTCGCCTTAAGGTCCGCCAGAGCTCTGAGCAGGAACGCGCAAGGGAACGTAGGAAGGAAGGAAGGAAGGAAGAAGAAAAACCTAAAATGCCGAATCCAAATCGAATCGGGAGCGAGGAGCGAGAGAAGGAGGAGGAAGGAGAAGAAGAAGAATCAGTCTCTTGCTTCCGCTCGCCGCACGATCAAACCCGAGGCGCTCGCGATTCCACCATTGCTGCCGTGCGAACGAAGCGACCCGGAAGCGGCGCGTGGGGGATGAGGCCCCGCGGCGGAACGGAATCCATCACGGCGGCGACTGCGCGGAGGCCCCCCTCACAATGCTCGCTCGCCCCCCATACACTCTCTCTCTCTCTCTCTCTAACCCTTTCTCTCTCTACCTGTGGGCAGAGGACAGTAGTGGAGAGAGAGACTCGACTCGCTCGGTGGTGGTGAGGGACAGAGAGGCGGAGAGAGAAGGGACGAAGTTTTGTTTTTCTCTCTCTCCCTCACACTTTCTCTCTCTTGTTTTTTTTTTCCTTTTTTTCCAGCGATTTGTTTCGCGTTTTCCACCACCATAGAAATCCCCGGCCTATATATATACCCAAAAAAAAAATTATGGATTCTAATTACGGGTTATTATTATTCTCTTCGGCTAAATATGGATATGAATGATATTGCAAATGCGAATGAAAATGGAAATAAATCTATTTATATAAGGGAAGGGAAAAAGGGGGAAGATAAAAGGGGCGTGTGATTATAATATATCTTTAATTTTGTTGTTTATGCATATAGGTGTGTGCGTATCCTGTTGGGCAGAGCATTGTAGCAGGACCAGCTGTTTCTTGTCTCGTGTCATTATGACGTGTACGTGTGTGTGCAGCCTGTAAGCAAGTTAAGAATGTATACAAAATATCTTATAATCATGATATTGTTACAGGCTAATTCCCTTAAAAAAAACCACAAATTTTAGGTTAAATCTCAGTTCTGTCCCGAATTTATTTTTTTCTAAAATGAATCTCGCTCTAGTACCGCGTCCGCCTACGCCTAAAAAATTGCCACTAGTTTCTTCGTAATTGTCAATATTGTGGTCAATTAGAAGTTCATTATCAGAACATGCGTCTTTATTGACACCATTGCATTCGTATGAAACAACATGATCCTTTTGATGTTGATAATCTTGAAAGGATTTGTCACTATTTTCGAACGAGTTGGCAGATTTGGGACAAGATGGAAAGTTAGTCACGTAAAAAAGTTCAGGGCGGGATTGAGATTTGACCTAACATTTGGGTTTTGTTAAGGGAATTAGCCCATAACAATATTATGATTGTAGTAAATTTTGTGTACACCATTACCTTCGTATGAAATAACAATATCCTCATAATGTTGATAATTTTGAAAACATCAATGACGATTTTTTAACCAATTAGTAAATTTGAGACTAGAGTGAAAGTTTGGGACATAATTAGAATTGAATCACGAGTTGAGAATCTTTTAGGGAATTAGGCCATTGTTCAAAAAATCCCAAAGCTCAAGTTTGGGATGATTGCCTCTGAGTTTCCCGCTAAAACGAAAAAACGATTGGAGTGTTTAAATAATTACGGGGAAGGCAGAAATCCGAAGTTAAGAAAAGTAATTACAGAAATGAATTTTTTTTCCACTTGAAATTTTGTTGAACGAAATCGATAAAGTAAAAATTCTAGAAGCATGCTCGAATTTATTAATTGGTTCGGAAACAGGTGCCTTTTTCTAGGTATACTAGGATGAAGTATGGGTAGAGTAGGCCTAGAATATATATAGTAAAATGCATCTACATTATTTATTCGGAAGTAGGAAACATTGAATGCCTGTGTCCAATGTGGTCATGTGATCCGATCACGACAATTAGTTTCTCATTTTAGTTAATACTTGACGTGGTGGGGGTAACCACGATTTACTCGTGGAATGAAATGTCTCATCGGTTTCTAGATCAGGAGTAATCAATTTCAGTATGGGTGGATTTCCAAAAAAAAAATCGAAACTTACTATACCAAAATCTATTTTGTCCCAAGAATCGAACCGAATCTAGGAACCGATTCGGCCGGTTCAAGACCAATTCCAAAGTTGAACGGGTCCCCATCACGCCAGCGTGGAACCCGTTGAGTAGGACCGATTCCGTTCAATTCCTAGACGGAACTGGCCCAATCATCTTCTCTTTCTATTAATCCTAATTCTCATCACGTCTCAGCGACATTGTGTCCAGTTTCACCTCTTCTTCCCTCTTCATTGCCCCTCCAATTTCTGCCGCTGCTCAAATGAAGGCTACGCAATCAACCTCGTTGTCTCTTATTCTTCCTAACATCACAAGTCTTGTCTCCATCAAACTTGATGTAGACAATTACCTTTTGCGAAAAACTCAATTTGAACCTATTTTAATCTGCAACGATCTGTTGGGCTATGTGGATAGGTTTTTCCCATGTCCGCCGAAACTTATCAATGATCAGAATGGCACTGTGGTGTTCAATGCCTCCTATTCCATCTGGATCAAGATAGATGAATGCGTTCATAGTTTGATCAACTCGACCCTTACAATAAAAAATTTCCATGAAGTTCACAACCTTTGAACATCTCGGGAGACTTTGCTCGCTCTAGGACCACGCTTTACTGATTGTTGCGCAGCTAAGGAAATTGGACTAAAACTTAATTTTCAAAACACCATTAAGAAAACCGATTAGTCAATGTTTGACTTTCTTCGGCATCTAAAGTCAATTGCAAACTCTCTAATGAGACTCAGTGATTCAAGCCCTCAATAGGCTCCCATTTGAGTATGATTTGTTTGTCACAATGGTCACCAACAGCCCTACAATCATTTCCTTTGGTGAGCTGCAGTCACGCCTCCTCATCCAAGAAGAACGATTTACTGAAAATCGAATGCCTCATATTCATCGAATATTCATCATGCTTTGATTGGTCGTGCCACTTCACCCAATCCACTGTTTCAACCGGGTTAGTAATTCTCCTATGATCGGTCCAATTTATCGTTATACTCGGCCTCCATATGCTAATCACTCCTACCCCTCCACCAGAAGGCCTCATGGTGGTTTGAGGCCCTATATTCCTCCATTCCTCCATATTTGGCTTTTATCTCAAATATATCGATGGCCTTTTGCGCAATTTTGATCTAGTTATGGTCAAGCCTATATCTACTATATTGGCCTCGAAGACTGTGTTGTCCGCTAATGACGGTGAGCTTCTCACTTCTCCGATGTTGTATCACAAATAGTTGGTGCTCTACAGTTTGCGTCCATGACCATACCCAATATTAGTTTTGTTGTAAACTTGGTTAGTTGATTCATGTATCAACCCAGATTACCTCATTTCCAAACCGTCAAACTCACATACCGGCATTTAGCTGGCACATGCACTCACGGATTGTTAACTAAGTAGTGTTCTCCCACTTCATTGACTGGTTATGCGAATGCTGACTAAGCTAGGTGCTTTGATACTCGACAGTTCACCTTGGGTTTTTGTGTTTTTGTAGGCGCTAATTTTGTTTCATGGAGTGCCAATAGGCAGTCTGCTATAGGCCATTCTAGTACAGAGGATCAGTATCGTGTTGTATCTTACTGTGCTGCTACATTATTTGGATTGCAATTTGCTTCATGAGCTTGGGATCCCCTTTTTAATCCTCTCACTTTTAATTGTGACAACATCTCTACCAATCCATCTTGCACTCAACTCGGTGTTTCATGCCCGCACCAAACACATTGAGTTGAATTTTCACTTTGTTCAAGAATGGATTGCTTCTGGTGATCTACGTGTTCACTATGTGCTTACAACAGATTAGCTCGTAGACATCTTTACCAAGGGACTACGTAGTTCACTTCACACGCTATTCATATACAATCTCTCAGTTGTTACGCCTACTTCGAATTGATAAGGAACGTTAACATGTAGTTTATATGTATTATGGGGTCTCTCTGTAATTATGTCTATATTAATATTCCGATTGCAATTAATCACTTTCATAAATATACATAGGGATTGAGCCACCATAAATATTTTGTCGTTATTTTCTCTCTGACTATACATCAACGGAATATCTAATGTAGAAGATTGCTAAAGGCAACACATTTGGAGTGTCATCGTATATGTCGTGCTCAGTCGTGATCTTGTGAGGACTCTGGCTCTCTCCCCAAAACATATGGGCACGACTTGTCCCCTCCTAACTCTATGGCAGAATCTTATGGTAACATCTAGAAAGGTCACTAATGTCGATCTCCTGTCCTGGTCCTTATATTTATAAGCGAAAATTTCTCTTATCGAACTTAAAGGTTATATTATGGCACGCTAGGGCCGCATAAAAGCATACGTGTCCCTGTTTTAGGAGAACCATTTTCAGTGTAGTCCTTTTCCTTTAAGCTAGTTAGCCTATCACATCAATAGCGTGCATGAAAGATCCCTCGGACACCCCACACAAGCCTCGTAAGTTCCTCTTGTTCCATGTTCCACCGAGAAAAGAATTCTCACGTCGTAACGGGTGGTAATTCCTTACATTTATTTCGAAATTTGTATACAAAACATTGTACTATATAAAAGCTCAAAAGCTCTTTAATCAATAGATGAGATTTACTCTCGTTTTTCACCTGAGATCATCGAGGAATTGAGGATGTCGTATTCCAGAAACTCCTTAGGAACACGTCTCTCTATTAGGGTGCAATTTGATTTTTTTTAATCAATACGTAGTTATACGAGCTGTGCCATCAACATGTTGTAGTAAGCGTAATTTGATTTTTGAAAAATCCAAAAAAATTCAAACTTTCACAAAATACAAATATTGATACGTAAATTTATATGTAGTTTTTTTTAGATTACCATAAGAAGTCACTTTCCTATCAAAGTAGAATTTCATAAGTATTTTGACAGTTATCGACTTTTCTCTTGAAAAACAATTACTCGGATTAATATGCTTATGGACAAATTTTTCATTAAAAAAAAGGAGAAGTAGTTAGTTACTTTCCTAATAAATAGGAATTTTTTCCTTTATAGATAATTAGATATACAGAGTTTCAATTGAATGGAATGATCTTTGATTGGGTATTCCATTCCTCGGCTGTTAATTTCCTGCTCTGCGAGTCTGAGACAATGCAATTTGAAAAGAAATAAAATCACTATTTCTTGGACTTTTTAATGTCCAAAGTAATATCCTTTCAAAAAAATGTCCAAAGTAATTCATTGGCTAGCCTTAGTGGATGTTTTTCGATTTTTTAAGTTAAAAAGGGAATTATCGTTGCGCAAAAAAAAAGGCAATTGACGAAACTTTCTAATTTCAGATATTTGTTGGTAATATACATAGTAGATGTAAATAATTCCCGTATCCAATTCTTATCCTAATCCTATTATATGGGCCCATGTTCCCCATGGGTTTTGTATTTAAAGGTGTGTCGAATAACTTTATTTACTAAAGTTCTTTCTAGTCTTGCATATTCGGTTTTAATAGTATTTTTAGAGTTATATTTACTAAAGCTCTTCTTTTTGTTTAATCAAGTACCTAAATAGAAAAGCGATTGATTGAAA